AAGCAATCTAACTGGGCCTAAACTAAGAGTGCATATCATTGCGTTCTGTTTGGCACTTAATTTCTTAGGAACTAGATTGTATGATCATTCATTCTCAATCTGATTTGTTTCTTATACCAAAACCGTAATATTATGTAAAATCGTATTCACTCTCCCGGCAACAAATTAAATAAACAAACTAAAAACTACAACTAATAAATACAAGCTCCCTGTCCCATAAAGAGATAACCCAAACAAGCTTTTCAAAACAAAATAATCGCGAACAAAAAGTGAGCGCCGCTCCTGCTCTTCACAGTGTAAAATGAAAATATATAATTTGAATTATAATTTCATTGAAAACAATAAAGTAATCTGCTTTGGCAACACGGTAGCTAAGTGTATAACATTAAATACATCAACTTTTTAAAACAATAACGAACATTTTAGCAATTTCTAATGTGTGTAAATGCCAGCCGCCTAATAGTGATTCCCAGCAATGATGAGCGTTGGAAAATTATGGTTTTCCCTGATGCTATGTGGGCTTACCTGGGCAGCGGGTAAATAAATTAGTTTGTGTTAGCAACAGCACTCATAAAACTAGTGAAACTCTCGTTCATCATATATTCCAATTCAATGGAAATTGCACTTTTATTGAGAACGTTTCATAACCAAACCGCACAAATTTAAATGCCAAAGCCCCGACTAATCGCGTTCAAAGGCGGCGGACAACTGAGATGTCAGCTCTCTGTGGAAACCACCACAGCCTCTGTCGTATATACACTTTTTATCTTATGCTAATAAAAAACATATATCTAGGAGTTCGAGAGGCTCTCGTGGGCACGCGAGCGAAAAACTCAAAATATTTGTTTAATAACTTAAAATTAGCAAGTAAATCGAGAGCGAACGAGAGAGAGGGAGAAACCTAATGTTTGATAATGAGAACATATGGGATTATTGGCTGGAATTGACACCCTCAGATTGGAGGTGCTAATCCGCAGAGCAGTTGGAAACCGATCAAGATTAAGATGTTAAACGAAAGAGCATATAGTATGAGTATTCCAACTGATTAGAGTGCGTTGTAAGGCCCCGGGCTGTTGTAAGGAATAGTTGGGGAAATTTCATCTCTCGATGCTCTCCAATCTAAACACTTATTTGGCCCAAAGCGCAATTATGATTACGAGCATTTGCTTATCAATTAATTAGCCATAACCAACAGGAAACTTATGTACGCCCTGCAAATATTTGCCATTTCAGTGGGGCTAAACTCTCGATGCTCGATGCTCGGTGCTCGGTGCGGTTCAGTTAGGTTGAATTCATAATGGCTGCGAGCTTATTGAATATTTACAAGTTCAATGCGAAGTTCGCGTTTGAACTGAACTACAACAAATATTTAAGTTTTGCTAATTAATTTAAAATATCTCCGCCATAACAAACCGATTGGGTCTAAGGACTGGGACTGGGACTGGGACTAGGGAGAAATGAGGCTGTTATCATTCCCAGGAAAGGCAAGAGTTCTGCTCCATCTTTGTGAATTATGTGCCTCATTTAAAAGTTTTTGCGGCACTTACTTTTCATTTTTTCTGTCGCTGCCTTGGAAATAAAATAAAAAAGTGCTGCATAAATTGTGCAAAGGTGTCAGCAAAGATAGCGCTCAGGTATTGTAAGACAGCACTTTCGGAGGTCCTGCCGCTGCTGTGATATTTCATATTTCATATTCATGCGCTGCACTCGGCGGCGGCGGCGGTGGCGGTGGTAACAAAAAAAAAAGAGCACAGAAAAAAGCGTTGAGCCAACTTGAACTGCAAGTTGGGCAGGTCATTAAGGCTTCTTTGGCCGCCCCATTGATTATTACCTTTGGCAGTTTTCTTACGAAGCCACGCCCCCTATCGCTGCATGCCGCCCACTTTGCCGCTGGCACTTTTTGGCATTTTATCTTGTCATATTTTCTGCAACTTTCAAGTGACCAGGCACGAAAATAATGCAAAAGTTCTTTTAAGCCAAGGCACTGGATGCCGAGCTGGATGCGAGCTTTTCAATTGCCGAAGAACTTTCCACACAAATTATGTGCATTGGGCACAGGCACTGGCACAGGAAAAAAAAAACAAGAAAGAAAACGAAGATCCTGCTGGCCAGGATGTGCTGATGGAAAAAAGTAATGCATCTGCAGCAAAAGTTTTTGTCATTCGGCTGTCATGTGCGGACTATTGCGTACGAGTGCGAATCTGAGGTGTTAATTGGATGCGAGGCAAACACTTTTCGAGACGAGGCCGGGTCGAAAACTAAACACAACTTCGAGAGTGGCCCCGCCTGGAGAGAGATATTCCGAAAAAGTTCTTTAAGGTCTGATAGAGAATTTATTGTACTTCTCAGAAAGTTGCAGAAGTTTTTCTCTATGCTGTCACTTAACATTTAGATTGTTATTACAAAGTGACAGAGCAGCAAAAAGTGCCATAAATTGTTGGGGTTGGGGCGAAGGGTGAGGCTTATGCATCTACAGTGATTTATATCAGTTATTCAACTATTCATTATTTACAGGCAAACGTCAGGTGCTTTTTCAATATGTTTAAACGGTAAATTGCGCACGGTGATGACTTCTGCTTCTCCCTCTTAGTGTTCTTCTACTTTTTCTGTTTTCCCTCTCCGGAGAAAGCTTGAAGTTCCTGCTGTCTGAGTCGGAAAACTCCATCTCTGCTGTCTGCAGCATATATACATATATCAAATCACTTTGCCCGTGTACGCAGCACACATTTATTTTATTTATGTTTACTTAAGCGTGCCACCTTTTAACTATGCCAGCCGGCATCCTTGGCTCGTCCTGAATCCTGATTCTCAACTGCCAACTTGCAACTCGCAACTCCAATGTTAACCAGTGCATGCATTCGGCATTCAGCGCATTCAGAAAATAATTTCTTTCTGCGGAAGATTGCATTCCGTTGTCACGCACTTCCTGCCAAGAGATGAACTCACGCCCCAGCGATTCGCATCTAATTTAGTGCTCATACATCGCAAATCAGTGGAAGCTGGCACTTTCTTGGCTCCGGGGCAACCGAACGAAATAAAAATGCTAAAGAAAAATAGTAGAAACCGGGTCATAGAGCCCACCATTCATTCAAGCTTGGCAAATAAGCAACTGCGAAACTGCGACAAATTGAAAATGCCAAAGCCAACTAAACAAATCCGCATAAACCGAGAGTCTGACAGGTGGTCAAAGGTGAAATGGAAAGCTACGATTAAGCACAGTTTTAGTAATTAGCTGTTGATGGCGGTAGGTGCAAGTGCAAGTGCCAAAGATCCTTCACAGCCAGTCAAAAAGGACTTTCATCCTGTCAAGTGGGCCACACAGCCAAACAGCCAAACAGCCAAACAGCTGCCAAATGCTGTTGGGCAAAACGCATCAGCATAAGCACGTCAATTGAAATGGCGTCGAAAAGGGTTTTCGTGACGTTTAACATTCTACCATTCATTTGGCAATCATTATGCTGAGTCACAGCCATGCACAGGCATTTATAAATGTCGCACACTGCGTATACGTAATGAACTGACTTGCACACAAATACACATACACACACCCATTCATCCAACAGGGCTAACAGGGCGAATGCGCAATGCACTGCATTTATCAATAGACGAGCGAATGTTTGTATGCCAAGCGTATATCATGTTGGCTTTAGTTAACAGAAATGTCGCCGTTTCACTCACAGGCAGATGGGACATGTGAAAAGTGGTGGTGGTGGAGGCTACGCCATTCAAGGTTGAGCTTGAGGAATTGCCGGAGACGTTGCATTTAAATGGAATTTATTTAATATAAACGAGTACCGGCACACATGCAGCCTGCAGCGGTGCGCAAACTTATTTAAATATGACTTTTAGAGCCAAATCAGAGTCAGAGTCGGAGTCGAAATGGAAACGCTGGAATCAGAATGAAAATCAGAATCAGAATCCGAATCAAAATTAGAACTAGAATCAGTAGCTTCGAGGGCCACCAACTCGAATGCAATGCAAATGCGAAATGAATGCACAGGAAATGAGCCCCGTCTAATGCATATTCATGGAAACATACATACTTTGCCAAGTGAAAGCCTCGGGCTTTTGCCACTCGTGTTAGTTGTCTGATTGTGGGCATTTGGGCGCAACTAAAACGGCTCATTATTCGTGTGAAAATTCCACAGCGAGCATGGCTCTCCCCGAAAGGGGAAATCCTTTTCCAGCCCCTCCCTCACCGCCCTCTGTTTTTTGAAAGTTGGCCAAAAGTCCGCGTAAAAACCCCGTATTTGCACAGATGCAAAACAATTGCAGCTCCGGGAGTTTTAACAATAATAACTGTTCGGTTGTTTGAGGGCGAAAAACCAGTTGCGACCACCTGCCAAAACAGAAGAGGGTAAACAACAAGCCCGGCCAGAAGCGGCGGTGGTCCTCTTTATACACGGCCAACAACGTTGCATATTTCCAGAAGCCACACACAGAGAGAGACACAGTGAAGCTAAGGAAATGGCCTGAGTTTGAGCCGGGACAGCAGATGCACTGGACTGCCAATAGCAGACACTCTGGCGTCAATATGCGGAAATATTACGTATACGCCCGTTGTGCAAGATGTGATTGTGCGGTTCACTTAAAATCGAAATGCCTCAATCAGCTCCTGCCAGCCAGCTCAGAGGAGGACCAGTGATTTTCCCAGGATCTCTCAATGGCGAAACAAAAAACAGAGAGAAAAACTTTGCATAAACAAACTATGAATATGTGTCTGTATGGCTGCTGAAGTGCATATCTGAGCACGCATTGTGCACACTTGTCTGTCGAAGCCACTTCGCTTGGCTGGCCAACAAAGTTGATGTCTCTCTCTCTCTCTTTCTGCAGCAGAACATCTTTTTTCCCTGTTCCTGTCTGCGGGATATGTGTCCCGAAGGATGTGTAAAGGAAAGAAAGGCAAGAATTTCCGGAACAAATACTTTCGCTTTGCTTCAGCTACGCATTTTTTGAGTTTCCCCCCATAAAGTGTGAACACAATTAAACGTATTACTCACTTTCAGAGGCACTTGTAGAAGAAGATCCATGGACACGAGGTGGTGCCTGGGGCTTCTCGCCTAGCAGGTGTTCTTTTTCCGGTTCCAATATGCTGGCGGACACCGTTTCGCTGGCCCTTCGTAGCATATGCAGAGGTGTATGATTGGCATCTCGATCCCGCTGGAAATCTTGCTCAGAGGATGACTTCTCATAGGACTCGTCAAAGGGATTGCTGCTGCGAAAGGCCTGCAAGGGTGGACCTTCACTGCCAGCTACTACGTCCATGACATCTGAGGGTGTTAAAAAGTTGATAAATCGGGTTTTTTAATGAGGCTAAAAGGCAGTTTAAATGTATAAAAATTTTGTCCTTAGCCATTATATAATATTTTTATATGGTCAGACAGACACAACCCTAAGGGTATACCATCCAACATTCATTTTTAAATCTAAGAAAATACTTTAAAAATTAAAGTGCTAACTCTTATCCACTTCCTACGAATAAGTTACCTGAAATATATTTCCTAATTATCTTTCCAGACATTCCAATAAATATCACTTTCCTGGTTATAAACTTATAAAATAATTCAGTATTTATTTAGCTATCCAAAGTTCATAAATTAAAGAGTCAATTTTCGAGCGGTTTGAATTATGGAAGTTGGACTGTATTTGCACACGATTTATTTATTGGCACTTCGGCAAAAAGTGGCATTTAATTGATTAACCATAAACTCGTAAATTAACGCCGAAAGTGAAAATCGAAAACTGGCAGTGCTAAATGCTAATACTATTGGAGCTTACCGAAATCGCTGCTCATGTCAGCTGGCGGCAAAGTATCGAAGCAAAACAAAAAGCTGAGTGAGAGGCAAAAAGGAAAAATGATAAAGAACGTTGAACAAAGAGAGACTGGACTGACGCAATCAAACGATGACGTAGTCGACTGTTCTTGACTCAAATTGACAGCCAAAGAGAATCGCGCGGCAGTGGGCCAAAGAGACTGAGCAGCTACGAGAATATAGAAATCCGACCACTTGACCGACCCGGAATAACAAGAAACTCATAGAACACGCGCGACACGACCGCCGGAAAGGGCGAAATTAAAGTAGCCTCTGGGTTCTTCAGCTAGTAACTTGGAACTTGGAACTCGAAGCTGCTTTTTATTACAACGCATGCACTGGCAAATATTTGCCGAGCGCATTAATTAGAAAAGCAATTTAAACAAGCGGTTGGCGAGCGAAGAACCAGCGAGCGCTCTTCGATTAAAACTAATTGGCAAACAAACAAGCCCGGCAAAGCAAACCTTCTGGCGGAGAAAAATGAGCAGAATGAGATTGTGTGTTTGCGTGGGGCAGCCCTAACCTAAAGAGAAATACAAATCAACATACATATTTATCAATGGGCAAGCCATTTATCTTGAATATTCAATATTCCAATAGTTTTCTAAGGCGAAACCAATTAGCTGATAAATAATTGACATATATAATCATAATTTATCTAAATGCGATAAGGCACTGAATGGCGGGATTATTAATAGACACCTAATCATAGGGCAATTTGTGTGGGTGTCATAACGCCAATACACAAGTATTTTCATTATGAAATGCTTTCACTTTTTCATGAAAATGTGTGCCTGACCTACCTCGCTTAAGCTTTATTAATGCGGGAATTTTCCCATTAGCAGAAGCAGTACAGTGGTAGCAATAAGTATTTAAGCTTTTTAGCATCTCAAATTGTTTATTATTTTATGATAAAAGTTATCAAGAGGAACTATTTTTTCTTTTTACAAAAGCAACTCAACTTCTCCTTTAAAAAATGCCACATTTCTTGTTGTTTTTCCTTGACAATTTGCATTTCGGCTGTCTCATCATATTGGGCTTGTTTTCATTCGCCAACGAGGCCGTAATTTAATTGCTTCGCTGGAATATTTTTAATTTACCTGATGGACAACCGTTGACAAAGATAACCAATCGCTGTGACGTCACTGCCATTATCCGTGCTCCAGCCAGATCATCTCCTCATCATCCGCGGCGAAAAAAGAGTTGTTTGCGAAAATATTTAATTTATTTTAACTATGCACACTTTTTGTGTTGCAGTGTCCTGTGGCAGTGGCAGTTGCAGTTGCACTTCCACTTCCAGTATATAAGATGACGATGATGATGATGATGATGGCTCATCAAAAACAAACAGGCGATAGTGTGGAAAGGCAGGACATTGGGGTCGAACAGAACAAAAAGCAAGAAATAAAAAAGGATAATGAAAGTTGCTTGCTCTATTTGGCAACACACACAGACACACACCACACACGCAGAGATGTTGTTACAGTGCTGTGATTTTTGTTGTATCAAATTGGAATTTTTTCCTTAAATATGGTAAACATCGATGGCGCAGAGATTTATGTATAGCGGCGCGTTGATGAAAATGACTCGCCGCGCTGCATTGACCGTGTTTACTGTTTGTCAGACAGGGCAGCAATTTACGCCCACGCAGGAGGCAAAAAACATTAATTTGCATGCAAGTCAATTATCAGGAGGCAGCGGCAAACAGACAGGCGCTAGTTGTCGGTTTTTCAGTTTTTCAGTTTTCAGTTTTCAGTACAAATATCAGAATCATTTTTGCCCACCACAAGGCTATAAACTCACGAAATGGAGATGCTCTTGAAATGGGAAAAAAGTCTTTGGGAAAAAATGTGGCTTCTCCATTAAAGGAATTGGTGTTTCATTATTGAAAATTCCTTTTAAATACATACCTTTACATACATCAAATGATTTTATAGAGTGTCTACTGTTCTACATATCCAAGCTACCATATTCACCTGCCACTACTTTCAAACTGCCAGGCAAGCACATTTCTAAATGTTTTTATTAATTAAAAATATTGCAAATTAAACACATTTCCAAATTGCGTTTTGCATTTTTCGTATAAATACACGCCCGTTGAAAAAATGCAAATATAATTTACAAAGCATACAATTTCACTTTTTATTTTCATTCGGGTTTTTGGCTTGCTCTATCGCTACTTTTTGAAGAGCCACACATCAGTTCGTAGTCTTGGCTCAAAGCTCTTAAGCCTAATTATGTTTAATACTATTCCTAGCTGTACATTGAGACCAGTCTTGGGAGCTGCGGATACCTCGGGTCTACCTGCTTTTGATGGTCACCTCGAGGCTGGCAGCCAGATTGCGGCAGGTGAGGAACTGACCGGAAGCCCTAATCTCCGGCCAGCTGCGCCGGAGCGAATGTGCTGGTCCCAGGAACTGGTAGCCTTGTGTCTCGATGACAGTCTCGAAAGAGGACCCACTTTGTGGCTGGTCCAGGTGCCACAGGAAGATGGCATGCTCATCGCAGCCATCGCCGCCACCGATCGCAATGACAGCCAAGAAAAATGTGTGCACTATGACGTGGCCAAAAGCATTGGACTCCTCGCTCAGCCGCAGGCAGGCCACGCCCTCCTGGGGCAACTGAGGGCGGACGTGCAACCGCTCGCCGAACGTGCCGTAGATTTGCAATACTGCCAGGCGGTGGTCGCTGCTCAAATGACGCAGCAGCTGCCACTCCCGTCGACCTATTGACCCCGCCGCTTCCAGTGCCAGTCCGAGTGCCTGATTTACTCCGGATGCCGGCGCCTGTTTATGGCTCCCCGCTGATAAGGATGCACCTCCAGAATCCTCAACTGCGGTGTCCTGCATCTCGACTGTTGACAATTTGTTGTTGGCCACTGGCTGGCCAAGTTGGTAACTGTGGCTGCATGATTTCCCAGTGGGGCAATGATAATTTTGATACTCGCTCTCGCCACCGCTGGGTGACTTCTCCAGATGCTCCTGCTGCCTTTGCCCCTGCTGTTGGCTACCCACCTGCCCACCATTATTTATGGTGGCAACTTCATCGCAGCGCAATCCGTCTTGATCTGGCCCTGTAATCCGCCAACTTTTCTTACTCAACTTTAACTTTGGTTTAACGAGCATATTGTTGTGACCTTCCCCCGAAAATGCCACGGCAGTCTCCTGGTGCTGCACTTTTATCAGCGTGCCACGTTGTTGCAGTTGAGTTTGGGCTGCAGCCTCGGCTCCATCTCCTGCTCCTGTTCCAGTTCCCTTTGCCATTTGGTCGACCGAAACTGGCAGTTGCCTGGAGATTTGCTTGCCGCACTTGGACTTGCCGGAACTCGTCTTGGCCAGCGCCATTTTCGGTTGATTATGATATTCATTTGTGCACTTGTTGACGCTGCTCAGTTTTTCATGGCCCTGGGCCGCAGAAGTCACTTTGTTGGTTTTTCCTGGAAAAAGAGGCGGAACCCCAAGAAATAACCATTAAAAAACAGTCACAAGAGAGTAAAGTAAGGTACGAAATGTAAATATAATAAATACAGTCCGGATATCTAGTCCTAGCTGGCAAAGATTCCACGCACAATTCGCACAGCTTGCAATTGTCCATTTGCGCTCGTTAGGGTTTCGACCTCCCAACTCTGGAAACAAACTCCTTGAAGAAGTTCAAGTGGCAAATAAAAATAGAATAGAAAAAGTAAATAAATATCCACGTACCCTGCATCTATATAAATATGAGCTCCGGGTGAATCTCGGCAAGACATAAAGAATGCACACTTAATGTAGAAGCAATAAAAACGCACTAAGCACAGCATAAGCTGGGGAAAAAACAAAGCTAAAGAGACCCCCGAAGTGGGTAAAAGTGGCAAAAAATGAAGACCAACAAGGAAAAACAAATGCAGACAACGGCGGAAAATTCTGTTGCTGCTTGTTACCTACGCTGTAAACTTCACTCCAAGTTAAGTTGGCGGACACAGATTGAAAATGGCAACAAGGGCGGCTAAACTTTAAACGAAGCCGCCCAGGAAGAAAGCAACAAAAAAACAGCAAGGAAAATCAACAACAAAATCAGTGGGTAAAGTAACGCAATGCCAGCAAGATGGCAGCGGAGCAAAGCGCGAAAAACTTTAGCAATTTATGTTACATAATTATGCTATAAAAAGAACAACAAGCGAAGATGAGCCATTGCGCTCAATTTCAAGCCCTCTTGACTCTCGCCTCCGCTTTCCCGCTTTCCTGCTTTCCCTCATCACATCACATTTTTCTTTCATTTGCGCCGACGACTCTCGGTTGAGATTTAAGTGAAACATTGACACTTGCCGCCTGCTGAAAAGTTTTTAGCCCACCTAAATGAGGATTCGGTTGCCAGGATGTTGCCAATGGCACAGGATCTATAAATTAAGAAGGGGCAGGGGCAGAAACTAACCTCAAAGCTTATATCATTTTACAGATAAATCTCTCTAATTTATAAAATAAAGCTAAAGGCATCATTTATCAATAACTAAAAGCAACTTTCTGTAAAGTAATTACCAGCAAAAGGATACAAATAAAATGCTTTTTAATTGAAAGAAATAACTTTAAATACGAATAAATTGAAGAAAGTAGTATTTTAAATAAAATGAATTTCAATTTTAAGCATAGACCAAACCTAACCCCCAGCACCCACTCCTGTCATTGTCATTTACGAAGACCTCCCCAAGGATTCCCAGAATCCTGCCCAAAAAGCACAGACAGCTGTTGCCTAATGACAAGGCCAATTCGGGTATCGTTTTGCGCAGATTAAATAGATAAAAGTCGCGAATACATGTCCTTAAAAAACCGGTCAGCACTTACCGCCATCGCAGGGAAAGCTCTCCGCCAGCAGGGTGAATAATTTGTCCGACAGCAGACAGCGGCCCCTTGGCCCCAAAGGAACTCGGCACACCGGACACTTTACGGAGCGACTGCGGCAATTATTGCAGAGCACGTGTCCATTGCAGCACTGCCAGCCAGGTGGTTTGATGACCTGATTTCCGTTGGCCAGGATCGAGCAGGATGTGGATGTGGATGGGAGCGGCAGTCAGAAAGAGAGACAAGAAAGAAGGAGGATATAGGTGTGTAATTATTCAAAAGGGGGGAATTATTTCAATTAATTATAAATATCGGTGTCCCCCATGCAAACTGCAATTGAGCTGAGCTTCCCTCTCTCTCTCTCTGATTGCTTCATTATTATTTCCCCCAAATTGCATTTAAAACACAAAAACCAATTCTAGTCGTATACGTAATGCACAAACGGAAACTAAATTTGATTATTGGCCACATTTGCTACTTGTTTTTGGCCTCCGGTCTGCTTTGGTCTCCTTAAGTCGAAATGCAGCTACGATTGCTGTTCTCGGAATCGACATGAAAAATGTATTATATTGGCAGCATTGTGCGCAGCAAGCTTTCCATTTAAATTGAAAATCAAATTGAAAATATTGCAAGCGGATTTAAAATAATACAACTGTGTTTGATGCGCACCCAAAATACTTTTGCGCATTTCAAGTCGCTCCCTCACAAAAACACAAAATAAAAACCAAAAACAAAAAAGGAATTGCAGAAACTCGGCACACGGAATATAGACTAAAGGACTGGGGAATATGTATCGATACATACATATTTGGCCAATGCTTTTTGTCTCTCACTGTCTGTGCGTGTATTCAGCCAAAAACTGCTGTAAATATGCAGGCGAACATAAATTTGCTACGAACTGAATAAAGAAACAATTTCTGTGCTGCAGCTTTCATACTTTTTGCTGCGATTTGCCAAAACAGCAATCGAAGTATTACAAATGTAAAGCGATTCGATTGCAATCTGACCAAATAAAAACCATAAAGACAAAGAACAACCATGTAGGGAGAGAGAAAAATCATAATTGGATACTCATTACAGTTTGAAATCAAATTTATATATTTTAAAATGTTGTAATATGTGATTAAAATATCCTGGTAACATCTATTATTCCCATTCGGAAAGGGATTTAATATTTGAAAAATATTGAAATTCCCTAACTTCCTAACATTTGTGGCAAACAAGGGATTTAAGGAACGTGCACACGTGTGGCAGATAGATTTAATGTTATTCGTCTTTTATTGTTTTTAATTGGCTTAAATGACATGAGCAAATGCTTTTAATTTTAATACCCCTGCATGCATAAACAAAGACTCCAATTAGTGATAGAAATCAATTAAATGCAGCTGAGCGAAAACACAACGAGGGGATGTGAAAGTGGCAATGGCATTGGAACTGGGAAGTGGAAAGAGGCAGCGGAAATGGCCAAAGCCGAGTGGTTTTAGTTTTAGCCCACTTTTCAGCGTCCGTCGCACAGAAAATCGAAATTGGCGTAGCATGCTTTTAGGCATATTGTAAAATATCTTCAGCAATATTGATTCGACTTCCCAAGCACCACTCGTTTCGGCCAGTTTATATAGTTTAGATTAACTAAAATACCGCAGGGCTGATCGAAAATATTTTAATCATATTTACCAAAGAGAGAGAGAGAGATCCAAAGCTTAGCTGAGAGCTAAGCTGAACTGTTTGTTTGCAAAATTTATGAAAATTAAATGGCTTGCAAATTTATGCATATTTAAATGGAACAAAAACAATTTCAAGCCCGATTTAATGTCAAACAAGGAATGGCAGAGGCAATCCTTATCCGACTAATGCAGGCGATTAGCATTCAAGGGAATCGAGGATGCACAACTATTGAAAATCTAGCAAAACAAAATCCCTTAATAACTTAATGGACTTGTGAGTGTGTCTGTGTGTGTGTGTGTGTGTGCATGTTTGCATACATAAATATGCCGTATGTGTGCAAGCACACACACACACACATACACACAGGCACATCGAAGGACATGGCATGTGCTCATAATACAATATAATGCCAGCTCCGTGCCATAGTAATAATGACCAAATCCAAAGGGCTTCCACTCACTCTCTCTCTCTCTACCTCTCGCTCTTTGGCAACTCAGCCGCAGGATGGAGCAGCATAAACTGATTTCGGGTTAATAAACAAATTATTCAGTGCAGCTGCAAGTGGAGTTCAAGCTGCTCTGTGGCCAGCTCGCTCCGAAGGCGTTGCAGCGTGGCCGTGTCCAGGATATCTCGGGGATGTCCTTGCCCCCGTCGCCCACTTATACCCCAGCACATGCTTAATTTATGGTTACACACACTGACACTCCAGCCAGTACTGGGCCAAAACGAGATCTGCTCCAGGCGAGAATTTCATTTGAAAATAACTCTGCATTTTAAATGGCCAGAAATGGGCGAGCATCGCTCTGCTCTGCTCTGCACTGCTTTACTCAGCTCACCGGTCTCACTCACTCTTTATCTTGTCTAATTAATTAAATTTATGTTTTTGCTGACAAGCTGGGCATAAATAAATTTAAAGTCCGGCCCTCGCCACCAGCTTTAATTTAAATGCACAACGAGCTTTGGGCTCTGAACATCGCCATCAACATCGAAATTGAGCAAAAATCAGAAGCTGGCCCGCAGGCGATTGACACGATTATTCACACTGACTTCCGTTGCTGCCTCCAACCCTCACACAAACACACTCGACACACACTAATCGTCAATATTTGATTTTTAAACGACATAATCAATCACATGGCCCGCTCAGGATGTATATATTTTGCAAAACTAATCAAATCACATGCCAGGGCAAACATTTATCAAAAACCTACTCGAATATAGGACAAACAAAAAAAAACAACAAGAAGAGAACATAAAAACAGGCAAGCAGCCGGCCGAATAAAAAACTTGGCCAGGCAACATAACCGACGGCTATTAACTGGCAACATGGAGAGCCGTATTGGGCCATGTGCGTCGTTTGAGTAATTGAGTCAACAAAGCTGCTGTACCTGGACCAAAGGGAGAAGCGGAGGGGTGGTCGCAGGAGCGGAGACATGGGGACATGGACATGGAATACAGGGGGCACGCAATCACCGGCAGCCCCATGTTGCAAACTTTATATACATTCAAGTGATTAGCAACAAACTTGCGCTGCAAAATCAACGCAGGCCAGGAAGAGGATGGCACTGGGATTGCCAATGGAACTGTCACAGCACTGAGAACATATCTAGGCAAGCCGTATTAGATTAGATTATTATCAAAGTCAGTTTGAATATCTACTAATTGAAGAGCTATCTACCACTATTCTTCTTTAAGAAAGTTAAAATCCAAAAACTATAAAATCAGAGGGCAATAATAAAAAGCCTTTTTGTACCTAACTAAGCTTTATATTTTTCTCAAACTTTTTCTCAAAGTGCAATTGGTAGCATCGGCTCACAAAGGCAACCAAGCGACCAACTGGCCAACTAAGTTTTTGGCCGAGTTGGGTCGAGAGTTCGAGCCCAGCTGAGTTAGATAATGACGAACTAAAACTAAAGCCAGTCAGGCTCATCGATATGCAATGCACATGCAGGCGGCTGCTGGATGGATGTCCTTATGGCCCATCCATCCCGCATCCTGCATCCCGCATCGCTCTCTTGTTCCACTTACCTCAAGGCACACAGGACACTCCAGTAATTGGGAAATATGTTGCAGGCATGTTGCAAACTTTTGCAGCGATTGTTGATTAATACCGTGCTGCTGCAAATATAAAGAGAGAGAGAGAATATATATAGTGGTTAATTTAAAGACTCCACTTCAAGGTTAAATGACACTTCGGGAAATTCAATCAATCGAATCTGACGCCTGCATTTAATTATATTTAAATTTTTGGCACAGCCCACATGGCGCTTAATAATTCACGGCAGAGCGCCCATGAAAGGCTTCGATTTAAGCCGATTTCCATTCAATTTTGCATTCGATTATCAAAACGATCCGTGTTCAAAATTTCCATCCAAAAGGGCCACCTGCATTCGAAAGACGCATTATGTCCTATGGTCGAATGCGGTTGCAAGTTTAATCTGTTTAACGGGTCAAGCTGGCACACACACACACAAACTCAAACATTCATTTTGTCTGTGATTCAATGCTTTCGGCATTGATTGAAATGGACTTTCCATGCCAACCACCTGTGCCAGGTGTTCACGTGTGTGTATCTCTGCTTGAATGTCCTTAAATTCGGACTGTCCTCTGCAAGGACATTTAGGTCAATTGAATTGTAATAAAGTACACATAATGTGTCAAGAACGAAATTGCGTTATTTCGATTCAATTGCATTTAATAAAGTAAACAGCTTCTTGCTCGCCAGATAAACAATTTACAACGACTCATGGACATCTGTATGGCTGAACACCTCAAGGCTTTCCCCAGGATCTTTGCTTGCTTTTACATTGAAGTGGACCTGAGTTCTAAATATAAACATTCAAGGTCATTTGTTGACTTGTTAATTGAAAAACTTTTAATAAATTAAATTTAGAGTCTTGCGGTATTTGACTTTAAGGCTTGTTTTTACTTTTGACAAGCTTTGGCTTGCAGCGAAACAGGAAATTATTTTTAAGTTATAAATGAAACATAAGATAGGGACAGGGACAAGATGCTTAAAGTTGGGGGCGAAACCTGAAGATTAACCTCTAAACTTTTTAAATAGAAGCGATTTTCATATCTTTAAGAAAGTAAGAAGGTTATAGGTTCATCCCTATTTTAAATCTAGACAACCTAAACTTCTATTTGCGCAATTAAGCTTAAGTAAATGACATTTGATGGTCATTCAATTACGATTACGTGTGGTTATGGATGAATTATTAGTTAGTTCCTGGATTAGTCGACTTTTTATTATGATTTAAACCTTCCACCGATGCTCTAGCATTGGCCCACCAAACTGCAATTGGCAGACTTGCAGGCCCACAAAGCAAGCAGACCAAGTTGCATCTAACTAATTACTAATTACTGGGCCAAAGCCAAAGCTGTAGCAGCAGTCATTAAGCCAATCAGTATTACGTAACGTTCAGCGGCGCACTCGAGTAAGACAATGGCCCATATAAGCGGCACACACTCCAATCATTCCGGGCCAATTAGGCCAAAACAGTGAGTACTTACCACAGCATGCGATGCCTCGGCAGGATCTTCATTCTGGTCAATGTTTGCATGTTGACGCCACATCATCAGGGTCACGACCTCGGCGCCGCTTTGCCAATGATCCTGCAACCGATTGGCCAGCTCACTGATCCTCAGTCCCAGGACATCGGCACCGTTTAACTCCAGTAGGGTATCTCCCAAGCGAACGCCACCTCTTTCCGCATTAGACTTCGCCTGCACCCCGCTGACCCATGGATAGGGGTCCCAAGGGGCACGACTCAAATTCAGACCCAAAGTGCCATTCGCGCAGGCGTAGATGGTGCACAACTGAAGCATCTTGGCTGTAAGGAGTAGATATAGTTCAAATCAAATCAGGCAATTCGACACTAAGACCCACAAGGTCGCACACTGCTTTTACCGACATAAATTTGGCCAATTTTCAACACTTAAGGCGTTCGCCAGACGCACACCCTCGGTCATCTAATTACCTGGGCTAACACACACATATCATCACCTAAGCAAAGGGGCTTTGAAAAATGTTGCCAAACTGTTTTATTTCGTTTCTTTTCCGAGGGCCAAGATACCCCCAAAAGCACTAGTTGACATGCCCATCACGTACACATTCGCATTTATTATGCCCCAAAATGTCTGAATGTGTGTGTGTGTTTGTGTGTGTGTGATTGGGGCAACCGACAGAGTCCTCTGATTTCCAGCACTTCACTCATTTGCACCTTTTGGCGAGCGATTCTTTCACCTTTCGGCAGCTGCCTCGAAGCCCAATTAATTAGCCAAAAAGTTTGCTGCCAAGTGGTCGTAATTACGCATACGCCACGTTCGCCAGGCGTAAAATTTGCTCACATAAATCAAAAGTTTCCGCAGGGCCAAGCCAAACAAAAAAATAGAAAGGGTTTTCTTGAAAACTTTTCAGCAGCAACGAAAATCAATTAAGCCCCCAAGCCGAAACTCACATATATACAATGTATATATATAGTATATAGAATGCGAAACAGAACCCAGCTGTTTTTCTGCCAACTGGATTCTTTCGCTTAGTCACTGGCATTGTCATTTGGCCAAGTCGAAGAAATCGAAGTAGAAGCTGTCAGTCTAGAAGATTCTCATACAGCGAAATTGATTATGTTTCTTGCACTCGAAACTTGGAGTAGATTGAGAATTTATAGCTTCCTCTCCGGCCGTCTACGCACGCGGATACAGATGTACGGATACAAGTACGAGTTCGTACGGCAAACTTGTTCAAATCACTTCACTTCACTTCTACTGACATTGGCCATGAAATCGCTATGACGTCGGTTTATTGAAGTGGCCAAAGCGCGGAGTATATAAATCATTGAACAATAAGCTGGCCATCATTCAATTATGCCTTATCCCTTGTAAGGGCAATTAAGAGTTCGATTGAATTATTTCCCCAAAACTAGTTAGTTTTAAGGCGCACCCACTATTTGGTTAGCCAAAAAGAAAGACCGCAGCAGCAATTTACAGACCATTGTTTCAGATCCAAGTCAATGAAGCACGACACTTGGCAAACAATTACGCAAACCCCAAAATGCAGGATGACTGCCCATGGTAACGCTCCAGTTAAGGCCTAAATCTAATTGCCAACTGCATTATAAATACCGTAAAGTTAACGCTGTGAATCTTTTTCTATGTTTGCTTTTAGAGGAAGCGAACTGAGCTTAGACGCGTGTGAATTGCAACTGAATCGCCCGAAGGTAATGCACATTGCACTGACTTGGCTTAGATCTTGGCTGGCTTGGCTTGGCACCGCTTTCGTTTTCAGTGTATTGAGTCAGTGGCGAAAACTGGCGAAGCGAGACTAAAACAAACTCACACGAAAATTGCGTCACAATTACAAACCGAAAGAAACCGCAAGCGTGTAAAAAAAAAAGCAAAAAAAAAAAAACAAAAAAGCTCAAGAGACAGAGACCCAGAAACCCAAAAGCGGGCTAAAAATGTTGCGCATGCGCCATTGACGCTGCTGCAGCTCTACAATTAGCAGCCTGGGATTGCCGTGTGTAAAAATTTTTAAATTGAACGTGATTTGCCTTTTTTTGCTCTCTGCTTCTCTATTTTGATTTCGCACAGTGTATGTATGTGTGTGTGATTTTATGAAATTTGCGCAAGCATTGCGCATGCGTGCGATTTATGCGCTGCTCTTGGCGCGTTTCTAATTGAATTTAGACCCGTTTGTTTGCTTTGGTAGTGGGTAGGAAATAGAAGCAAACTTGTTTGCCGCCTTTAATTATGCGAGTATCCAGCAAATGCGTTTATAATTGTGCGTTACACTTCCGTGTTTCTTTTTTGGTCTAAGAGGTCTTAGCCGGACCTTGACCTAAGTTAACGTTTAACAAACTTAAGTCGGTAGCTTTTGGGGTGAGCGTAAGGTCATTAGGGCCATTAGCTCTACCGCATGCTTGGTTAACAATTACACACCGTTTTTATAGTAGGTTTTAACCTGCTGCTGGTTAATCAATTTTCACAACTCTCGGCCACGCTACGTGATTTTTTTGATCGTGTATCGTAATAACTTTATTTGGCGCCGGCGCTTCGCACTTCGCGTTTGACCTGCGGAACTTGCGGCGCTTGCGCACTTCACTGAATGCGAGCTGCGAAGAAACTGAGGCTCGGCTTCTTCACAGCTGACCAGCAGACCTAACAAACTTGGCTTAAACACTGGCGCCACCTCTTAGCAGAGCTTTGAACTTACTGGCTGAAAGCTTTTGAACGGTTTTTCAAAACCGAAAACCAATTGGCAACAGAAACAAGTCGAGAGTTATTAATTTGAGAGGCGGAATTGCACTTGAATTTGGCCATTGCCTTTGGGCCAGGCCTAATTGCCGGCCGATTAATAAAAGTCAATTACCTTTCCGGTGCTGGGGTGGGTGTTTGAGAAACATGAATTTTGATGTTATTGCCTGGCTAAGTATTTGGTAATTTTGACACTGCTGATGGCTTTTTGGCTGCCGGAAAGGCTTCTGTGGGCCACTCTATGCCACATAAATTCAACCGAAAATCCAATTGAACTGGCAAATTGAAAAGCCAAAAAACGAAACAAAATCACACACCACAATGCTGCCCAGGGTCAGTATCTGGCTGGGCTAAAAATTTAATGAAATTACCAATTTCAATGCTATTTGGCTATTTGGGCAATGTTTTAGACGAGCGCCAAACTCAAATTACCGCTTCAATGGCAGTTAAACCGGCGAAAACAACGAGAACAACAAAAAAGCGAAAGTCAAAGTGGATTGCGATGGTTTGCTGGCCATGCCATGCCATGCCATGCCAAATCCATTTGTCAGCTGCCAATTTCCATCAGTTATCATTGTTAGGGTTAATGGACGAGCTGGTTTTTGGGCCCGATTATTTATTTAGGGCCCCATTGTTTATGTTTATCGCGCCCTGACACCTTCATGCAGTGCCACGATTGTTGTTTTAATTTCTTCGGTATTTCAAATAATAATATTTTTCGGCCCACTCATCCGCCACTCAATTGACCGAATGCACTGCCAACGCGCAATTAAGCCGAAAAATAGTGCTGTTTATTTTGAAATTTAATTACAAAGTCGGACAACTTTTAAAGTAAACAAAATGGAATTAAACTGATTAAGTTTCGTGTACATTATTGCTAATGGCGAATTTATCTGATTACAATTTGTGTTGACCGTCGAACTTAACTGTATGAATTTGCCATTTAAAAATAAATTCCTGCTTTTGGGTGTAGTTTATTTTTATAATTTATATAGTTGATCGGATAATTTGCCAAAATTGATAAAAGATTATTCACTTATTATAAATTGTACTTTAAATAGTGTCATATTTGTGTGAACATAGCTGTAGAGTAATTTTTCTTTGTAAGTTAAAGATCTAAACGCAGTATTACCCCATTCAGCCATGTTCTCGATTTCACTTCCTTGGAATTACAGCAATTACCACCTTCAAAGAATCATATTTGGCAAGTTAATAATTTAATCATTCAAAAACTATTAAACCTTTCAAGTTTTTATCCCGCAACTCACTTTCAAGTTGTTCAAACTAAACTATTTCGAAATGTCTCTCCATGACATAATCACCCGAGAATTTGTTTCTCTTTTCATTTGCTTATCAAATGTGTCATAATGCCTAAACCTGCGACTTTATAGCGCACCCAAAAACCGCTGCCAGCCGAAAGTTCAAATATTTACTTAGCTTCCATGAGACTAATTTCCATGATCTCAGCTGGCTGTCAGCTTTGGATCTCCAATCATGAATCTCGAATCGCAGCCACATTTTAGCGCCGACAACGTACAACATAAGGGGGCAGGGGTTAAATTTGGGTGATGCTGGGGAAGCACTGAGCTTGGCCAAAAGCTGAGGCCAAAATGTTTGTCGTACCCGATTGCGTCGGCCCAAAGCGCTCAGTGCTCGCCGCTCGGCAACTTTTCAGGCGGCCCACATATAGCCAGCTGGCTCGAAAATGAAAAAAAAACACACATGAAAAACAGTTTGCCAACTGAGAGCGCACGTTGAACACGTCTCTCGGTAGTCGCGTTGTTTTTCTGTATTTTGGTCTATATCGGTTTTGCATCACCTGTGCGAGTTTTCCAGCCTAAGATGAGGAAATCATCGGGAGGATTTCAGGCGCCCACCAATGAAAATGGGGAAAATGACGCTGGTTCCTCTGTTCGATTGCTGAGGATTCCAAGGGCTGCCCCTGCCATGGAGAACTATGGATTCCAATTAACCCGCAGCAAGTGGGATCCCTATCCCTGGGTAACAAAGTAGCCAGCCATCGTTGATCTCTGCCCCCTCCTAATGCCATATCCCTCACCTGACAGGTTTGCGAGGTGGCTGCAGGCACACCTGCCGCACTCTGCGGCCTTAAGCCCGGCGATTGTGTTCTGGAGGTAAGTAATACTGCCACATGTAGTTGCCACCAACTACTGTCTAGCGCTTGGTGTTCTGGCAATGGTTAAAAAAGGGCTGGGGATTATGCATAATGAAGTCCAACTGCAACGGTAAGACAAGCTGCCCCAGACTTTAGGTTACAGCGTGAACAATGTTAATAAATGGGAACTTTGTAAGCTTACGATTATGGTGATAGCTTCTTGGTTTCTATACTAATTTATATTTTAATATACTTTGATTTTTACAAAAACTTAACTAGTAAGACTTAAACATCGTAAATCATTTTTTTGTAATGCTCATTATCTGGTTTTGTAAAACTACTTAAATCAGATAACTAATTTTCAACTTTACTTAATTCATAGTTAAGGGTTTTATTTATTAGTAAATTTGAAACAACAAATTTAAATTTCTTTTAACTTTTGAGAAAATATTAAGTATTCTTATTTATAAACACATTCAAATATGTTGCATCACAAATTAACATGACATTCAGTTCAAGATATGGAAGTTGGACTGTATATCTAAGTCTGGACTTGGCAGTCGCTATTGTAGCCGCTTTTTGTTGTTCTTCGTGGATATTGCTTGCTTAAAATAGCAATGCAGTAAAACTTAATTGCTTGGCATCGGCTTTATCCAGCACTTTTGTAGGAGGGGCGAGGGAATAGGTGCCGGGCACTTGAAACAGCTGGCGAATGCAAAACCCGCCCTAGACGGGCCTAATACTAATGGTAGTGACACAGCTTGAAAGTAGTTGTTAAATGCCAAATGACGACAAAGATTAATTAACGCAAAGTAAATATTTAAAACCAACTAAAGGTTTTAGATAACAGCTTCTCGGGTTAACAGTGCTAGCATGGGTTAACATACGCAAGCAGTGGGTTAGAAGCAGCCGCAAGCAGTGCTCGGAATTTAAAAATGTGTTGGCCATATTTTGCTTTATTTATCAGTTTTAAATGTAAATATTTGGATATCTGATAGGTTTAAGGCATGACAGGTTTTTCTTAGAATAACAAATAAACATTTTTTCTTTTCTATATTAACTATTATTGCCAGGTATTACCCCTAAAGAAGTAAAGTTTCATAATTTCCAGGTAAATGGCAAAGATGTTCTGGGCTTGAGGGTGGCTGAAATTGCCAAAATGGTCAAAAGCCAAACGGATTGCGTCACAATTCTCTGCTGGAATAGTGAGTGTGAAAAGGACTGTGATAATAATGTGAGTTTTTATAGTTTTTAAACTCTGTTTCAGTATATTTATCTAAACTTCTTAAAAAACAGCTCACTTATTGTTCTTAGCTAATAGTTTACCAAAAAATATAAGATTATAAAGCACTAAACATAACCCATTTTTGTTGGAAAACCACAGAGCATCTGCTGTGCCCCCATGCCCACAAGCTTGCGACGCCTGTCCCTCGTCCTGGAGAGCATCCTGCGCCTCGTTGAGTGTCCTGTCTGCGCGGTGACCATCTCACCGCCGGCGATGCAGTGCCAAAATGGACACCTACTCTGCGTAGACTGTCGCATCCGCTCGGAGCGTTGTCCTGTCTGCCGGGATTTCTACACGCCCCGCCGGGCATTATTGGCGGAGCAGATTTTCCTGACCGTTGCCAACGCCTTCGAGATGTGCCACACGGAGAATAAGCTCCGGCAGAAGCTCTTCGCTGGGATAACACGACCGGCGGTTGGGCGACAGAATAGGATAACCACCGGACAGGATACCTGGCGAAAGAGGAGGCCAGTGTTGCCGACGAACAAGTTCCTAACCAAACTGCTAGAGGGCTGTGCCTACTCGATGGACAACCTCTCACCCTCGAATGCCGCTACCCTGTTGCGGACTAGCTCCACGGATGTCGCTAGCGACTCCAGTGAAATCCCGACGAGAACATCACCAGTGACAGCCACGCCCCCCGAAAGGACAACAATGCATGACGCGAATGCGGGGCATCCTTCACTCTCGACGAATGATTTACAGCAGGATGGAGTTAAGCCGAATGCCGAGGGCGGTGACAAGGAATCCGGAACGGACAGCAGCCACAACTCCGCCGCATCCTTACCACCATCGCCATCGTCCTCCGGCAGCCGGGCCATCAATGAATCTTCCGGGATGCAACCCTTTCACATACCTCCTGTCACTCTGAGCCAAGATTTGCCCGAGCATCAGCAGCAGCAGCATCAGGTTGTCCAAACTAAGCCGGCCTCGCTGCTGTACCGCTGTCCCTGCGAGCTGCAGGATCCAGAGGATCCTGAGAAGGACCTCCATCAGAACTGCTGCTACAAATCCGCTTTCCGTTTGCTTTGAGCTCCGGCATCTCAATCAACAGCATCCTCTTATCAGCCGGGTCGTCTGTCGTCTCTCCTCCTACTCCTACTATTTTCCTTACTAATTAAATTAGACGCCAGTTTGCTTGGCCAAAGTTGCTTATCGCGCAAAGAAATGAACCCGGGCAAAGGAATTGAATGGGTGTCAGGCCGGGACAAAAGGCCCCGAGATGGAGATGCAAAGAAGTTAGACCAGAGATGCTGCGCTGCACTCGGTGAACTGCAGCAAAGAGTTCAACTTGGCCAAGTTGAGTTCTAATTTAATCACTCCTGAACGCTCCAATGACTTTGTGTCATTTGGCGTCCAACTTGCGCTGCTCGATAATGAACCCCTGATAGTCTGCCTCGAGGGGTTCGTTTGACAGATGCATTAAGTCTTAGATTCACACAGAAAATAAATTGCGATTTCTATTAGATCTACAAATAAATTGCTTTAAAATACTCTCTATTATCAACAGAAACTAAAAGATATAACAGGTACCACTTTTAACCTTCTCCCATGAACTATTACTCCTTTTCCTATGTTTTTTGATCTTTCATTTTCCCCAGTGCAGGGCAAGTTATGACTGAACCTTGCAACGCCACCCGCAGATGCAGGTCAATCAGGAGCAAAGTGAAGGATGCCGGACAAGCGCGTAATGAGCTTTATTTGTCATCGGGAGCAGGCGTGGAACCTGTCCCGGCAGAACCATAATGACAGCCACAGTTGGACAGCCATTATGCCGGTCGTTTACCATTTAATATTGATGCAAGGCGCCAAAGGAGGAGCGTTGCTGCCACGCCAGCAACAGGCTGGCAACTCAGTTGCTTCAACCGCATTCTTATCGCAGCAGAATAGCCTCCCGCTGCTCCTCCGGGACGGAACTGCTATGAAAATGTCATCAAAACAGGAAGTGGCAGTTTAATTTAAGCGCGTTAATTGAATTTTATTTTCTGCTTTGTTGATGTCCCGGACAAAAGGCTCGGGCGAAGACCAAGTCCCAGCCATAGTCCGGATTCGCGTCCGGTTGCGAGTGCCATGCGGAAATTGATTTGCTGCTGCTGCTGCTGCTTTGCTGCTGCTACTGCTGGTGGTGCAGCATTGTGAGTCCGGAATGGTCGGAATGGCCGGAATAAACGGCCGTATCCCGTGGTGTCGTCACCTGGCCGAGTCGGCAAACTTTAATTACAAACTTCTATGCTCCATTATGCAATCTGCCGCTGCTCGGCAGCTGGGGGAAACCCAGTTTAAATTGCTATTATTGTTGCATACTGCACAAGTCTTGTGCCTGCCACACAGGCTCAGCCACACACACTTTCTAATTGCATTTCATTATCTATTGGAAATTACAGCGATTTCGAGGGTCGATGATGATGGCACCGCTAATGGCAACCGTAACAAGTGCCCCTCCACGTGAAACGTTGCAATGCAATTAATTTCGCTGGCGCTGGTAAAAGAAATCGCTGCGAAAACCGCGCGACAAGTGTGCTTGTGCTTCCAGTTTTTCCAACCTCCCCGCCTTCTGCACCTTGGCATAATTTGCAATGGGAAACCCAGACCGATCTATTGGTTATTTAATTAATGTGAAGCACTCATTATCGAGTGCAATTTACCTTGGGGTAAACACGGGGCTTCAGCCCTTAAAGCATCGCTCCTCGAAACGCCATTCAATTTGCATCCTTGGTCTGGTTGTTTAAGTTCTCGTCTTGCATCAGAATAAACGGCTCTTTGGGGCAAGTTTCGGGGGCTCCGGCTAAGTGGTAATAGCCAAAACAATAAATTCACTTTGGAGCGAAATTCCGCTGCCACGCCCACGCCCGAGCACTTGCCGCACAAGTGGAGGTCACGTCAGTGCACCACACGGCATATGAGTATAAGAGTATGCGTTTCCCTTCAAGTGCACTGGGAGGAAAACTATGTAGAAATCTAAAATGTTGGTATATAATAGTGATTAATCCCTAAGATATGTTGAGTAATTATTCAAATTTTGTTTTGTATAAGACAGGCAGAATATAAGTTAAAGTAATGAGAATCCCCTTAATTTTACCTCTTCCAGATGAGGTTGCCAATTATCTTTCTTTCTAAACTCAAGGTAGTCATTTTCTCCCAGTGTAGCTTATCAGGCAGCAACAGAAACAGTCTGTACAGAGTGTGTGTATAGCTTAGCAACAATGTGACCGCCCCAAAGCGAAGGAAAGCGTGCAACAATTTGGAGAATCCTTCCCTTTTGGCGGCGCAGCTGTTCCGTGTGCGGCCGCAACCTTAGAAACTTTCTAACGAGCATTTTGCAACGCCCCCCTCTGCGATCTTACACCCCCTTTCCCACATGTTAGTTTCATGCAGCCTTTGGCTGCCGCCTGGCGGGCTGTTATTGTTATTGTTTTTAGCTGGCAAACAACATGTGCGGTTGTCATAAATTTAACGCCAAAAGAGCATTTTAAGCAGTCAGCCAAAAAGACCGCCTGGCAGGGGACTAAGTCTTCTAATTACTCTGAGGGAAAACTTTTGGCAAAACCCCCTAACTCAGCCCCATTCATGATTCATATGTACGCGTGTGTGTGTTTGTGTGCATCATCTACGCCGCCTAGAAACTTTGATGAGTCGCCCACCGGAAATGCAATGAGAAATTCAAAAATGGGAAATGGAAAAAGGAAAAGGAGAAATGCAACCGCCTGCGTGCAAAGTATTTCCATATTTAAATTCGTGCGTTCGAATATTTGAAACGGCGGCAACTGGCAACTGGCAACTGGCAAACGGCAAATGGAAATTATTTATTTAATTAAATATTAAAAAACGTGCTGCGGCCATCTTTTATTGCATTAGTCGCCATGAGCTGTCCGCTTTGGGGAAGCACTGTAAAATATGGTGTATATCCCATCTGATTTATTCAATTTTTTTTTTTCAGCAATTATGGTTGATATTTTTGTTTTTATTCTCGCACGCTCTTGTTGGATGCTCGGCCCTGGCCCCAGCAAAAGAAACTTAATTACGGTTGAGCGACGTCGCAAGAGCCTGATTAAATTAAAATGAATATGAATTGCATTCAGATTCGCATTCACGGCGCCTGTAAATAGGCAACAAAGCGGTTCGTCGCCCGGCGACGGAACGTCATGTGAGTGACACATTTCACACTGGGATTGAATTAATTGAAACATCGACGTTCTCTTAATCGAAAACTCAACGGGACTGTATGCAGGCGATTACCCTTGACTTTCATGTTCTTTTATCCGCAACGTAGAAAATTAAACAATTTTCGTAGCAATAATATAATAACCAGAACCCCGAAAAGATATATATGGCTACCACGACGAGGGCGAGTAGCCTTGGAAATTAAAATTAAAATTCCATTGATTAGAAAATTGTAAATGCATGGAATTTTAGGATATCGCTGTGTGGCAATCTTTCGATTTGCATAATTGCGAACCAACCGTCGCAACGCACCCAAAATCTCAGCCACAACAGCTGCAATGGCTGGGGGGTTGGGTGCTGCAGATGCTTATCGGGGTGTAACTTTGCACCGTCCACTGGCCACTGCCCATAAATATCAAAAATTCTAACACATGGATGGGGAGAGGACGCGGGTGTTGGTAGATTTTTCGCCTGCAGGTATGGGAATCCGCGAACCTGTTCGCTTTTTGCATCCTGGCATGGGACTTTTTAATTAAAATAAAAACGAACAGCATGGGGCAGCAATGGAAATGCCACATAATTGTCGAATTGTTGCCACTTGCCACGCGCGCGGTGCCATTGGGCGTGGCTGGCTCTGAAATGGGCGTTTGCTGATTAACAAAAATAAATTGTGAGCGGAACTTTGGCATAACAATTACACCGCCACATGTGCTGTGCTATGCCATATACGCGATGGCCATTTTCATAAAACTTCGCTTTCTCTCTGTGTGACTCTGTGTGTCTGCGTGTCTGCGCTTTTTGTTTGCGGATGTTTTTCGTTGAGCTTGTAAATATTTAGCCGCCATTGCTGGCCATCGCCAAGCTGCACAATTTCTGCCCTTTAACCTCAAAAGCAAAAAAATTCATTTTGAATCCAACCAAAATCCGGTCTGAAAGAGCGTCAGGAGCCAGCCAATGACCACTTGTAGCCCTCAGCAGGCAGTCCAACAGCCATTTCGATGCCCACGAAGCATAGAAATTAAATGGGGTGTATTGGTACTTCGGCTTAGCTTTTAAATAACCAAATTCAAATACTTTTACATCATTTTAAATAGTAACTACCCTTAAGATTTTTCTGAGACTTTATGTTTTGTATGAACAGCAAGAAGTAATGACATTAATCCTTAGTTTCTCTCATTAGCTTATGAATAAACTTAAATTCAAACTACTTTTTGCTGATCCTGTTAAATTAAGTTCATGAAAAAAGGGTATATCCTTTCCGTCAGAGTAAATACACAAATACTTTCGGGAGTCTGGGGGGAAGTAATAGAAAGTAAGCAAGCAAAAAAGTCAAAATCATGCCTCATGCTCATGTTTTATGTGGGATATTCCGTTGTATTCTGCTGGGCTGCTTTTAATTGCTTTACATTTTTGTTTATTTTGTTGACGCTGTCCCTGCAGTTTCGCCTGTCTATGTGTGTGTGTGTATGTTTGTCCTTGTCTGTGTTTGCGGGCTGTAATGAAGACCCGTGTCGGTCTGCATATTAACTGGCACACTTGCAGCATTTTTAAATGCATAGTGCACCGCCCGCTGAACCACCCACCCGAACACCAGCCCTAAGCATTTTAGGGCCGTAGTTGAACAGCGAAAACAGAAACGAACCATGGGGCATGGGGACTTTTGAGGGGATTGCGGATGCGGCAAGTAAATTTGCGCACGGCTTTCATTGTCTGTCATAAGCATAAATGGTTATTAATATTAAAGTTCATAACGGGCAATGTTAACTGCTCATTTAACGGGGCCATGCTTCTGGCCACTTTATTTTTGCCTGACTGCCCGCCACGCTGACCACGCCCCCCAGCATCCGCCTCCGTTTTGCTCTCATTGATATGTTGGCAGTTGTTTACACATTAACAGCCCGCTGTGTACCATGACCATAGCCATTTCCAACCAGTTAACGAAAGAGGCCATTCGAGCCTTATTAAGTCACTAAAATTGCATTGCCAGTGCAACATTTTGCGGCTGGCCAGAGAAGAAGGTACGTCAAGGTTTAAGGTTTAATTTGATCCTTTTTAATGAGATTCGCAGCAGAGTTACCCCTTTTCGTTAATATCCAATATTTTTCATCAAACAAATGGGTGGGGTGAACTCGCATATTAAATCAAATTAGGCGAGTGTCGTGCTGATTTAACCCCAACTCCCCCAATAGTCGTTACACTTAACGATTCAGTGACCTCAAAACGAACTGCAATCAGTGCGCGACCTGAACCCAAATTAATTTAAGTCTTAAGCCGATTTTTATGAATTTTATATGCAATGCAAATTAATTCGATATATGTAAACATATAAATGAAAAACTGAGAATGTGTTAAACGCGAATAATAAATTAACTATATAAATATATGTATATACATATATATAAATGTGTGCAGCTCTCTGGCGTTGTAAATTATTTTTTGAATGCACAGCAATTAAGTAAAGTCAGACGGCCAAACATGAAACGGAAATCCCAACATGTTGTCCATGTCTCTCTGTTCGACATTCCGAAAAAAATGCCAGGTGTGAGACATATAATCGAAATGGAATGGATAGGCATAATCACGGTGCGTTAACAGGAATTATGCATTCAAAAGGGGATTTATAAATGGCTTATATCATTGCTTAAAAAGAAAATTATCAAATTGCACCTAATTTTGTTAAGTATGTACTGTTAAAGTCGTATTCCGCCCAAAAGTATGCATTTTCTGGCTGCATATCTTAAATATAGCGGTGATAAAAAAATCTCAAAGAAACTTTAGTATTTTAACAAAAACAATACGAACAATTTTTGTAATATGAAATGTCATAACTTGTAGAGTTTGAAATTTAATTTCTATCCGAACTGCATTCCAGGTTTGAAATGTCATTTTTTTCGCAATTTTTAGCAAAAATTGACGATGTAACCCCTTATCGAAAATTCAAAAATTGGCCAAAAATATATTTTTTCAGATCCGCACCAAACTTGTAGGGGGCTTAGTTCTGGTTATTAGCTTCAAAAAACAATCGTTGTTTTCACTGTACGTCAAGTTTTGACCATTTTATAGCTTTAAAAGGTAATAAAACTTCATCAGCAATAGCTTAAAAATCTTTATCTGACTTTGCGTCTAAAAATGCCTGAATTTTTATCACTGTTGTGCCAAAAATTGCTCAAACTCAGAATGTTATACATCGTTGAGCTCGTAATTTAAATTCTATGAAAACTGCATTCAAGGTTTAATATGTCAATTTTTGTCATTTTTTGCAAAAAGTTTACGATATGATTAATTCTGGTCGTTAGCTTCAAAAAACAGCTGTCGTTTCTTCAGTGCGTCATGTTTTAACCATTTTGTGGCTTAAAAGGGGATCAAAGTACTGCAGGTATTACTTCAGTAAAGAACATATTTCATTACTCTGAATTCATTCATTCGAATGTTTTACACCTAATAGTTCTCTGTTCCAAGCTTAATAAACAACAAGTTCTAACAAGTTATTTTGCAACAGATCTATAAATCAGATTCAAGACACAACCTAGTTGTGAAATCCACTTTTTATGGAGTACCACTAAATCTGTTATAATTAGCTTTGTCTGTTTTTTTAAGTTTTTCATCAAGTAATTAAAATGAATATTCAAATAGAATTAAATATTCAAATGCATTTGGTAAGAAAAAATTATGCAAATTAAATTATTTATTATGGTCAATGCATTTGTTGACAAACTTTAACAAAGCAATTACAGATAGTACTTAGCCGAGAGTATTCTAGTTAAATTTACGATTGGGAAGAGGTTGGGAAGACGCGGCTAATCACTGGATTACATTGAAATTCAGGAACGTTTCTTTTGGCGTGTACTAAGCTTAGTCTATGACTTACATTTTAGTATTTACAATGGCGGTGTCCTACTAATGGTAGGCATTCTTATAAAGGCTCAGGCACTGAGATCTTTGGATATTGAATTGCTGACTTTTTCCAGGTGGGCTCTTATTTAGACTAAATCCTAACTTAACTTAAATCAAATGAACTCCTGAAAGTCCAGCATATCGAAGTTATTGTCAAACTCCGGCTGCAAATGGAAATTAGCCGGCGGTGGGCTTTTGGATGGTGGCTCATAGACATCCGATAGATATTTTGTCACGTACTCAAACGACACAAACTCGCTCAAGTTGCATTTGCTGTCGCCGTTGGCGCGGTTATTATTGCCGCTGTTGTGGGCCAGGCTAATTCCATTAGCAGATGGCGTAGCTAAAGCCTTCGACGTCGTCAGCAATTGCTCGAGTTCGCTTAATTGATTAATATTCCCATTGTAATGGCTGTTGTTGTTGTTGTTGCTGCTGCTGCTGCCACTGCAAACGCTCAGCACATCCGTTTCCGGTGCGACCGCCATATTGCCGCCATATGTTGCTGTTGCTGTTGCCGTAGATGTTCCCGTGCCCGTTGCGGTTGCAGGTCCTCCTGCAGGACCTCCTCCATTCTGATTGTGCTCAATGATGACAATGCAATTTGACAACTCATTAAAGTTCATTGAATTGTTATTAGCTGCAACACCGGTGCCGCAATTGTTGCGGTCTGTCGTCCTGTCGTTTCGTTCGGACTGCTGCAGCAACGCCTCGCTGCAACTATTGCTGCGGTGTTGTCGCTGATCCCCCGAAGCACCACCGACTACAACTGCACCTGCACTTGCACTCGCCACACCCCCCTGCATCAGGGCCGATTCAGAGTGACGGCGGGTTTTGGCCGCCTTCTTTAGTCCGGAGGGCGGTATGGTGGCACCGCCGGCAGATTTGCGGCGCAGCTGTCCGTTGGCGTTGCGCAGCGCGTGGTTCTTGACATGTTTGCGGAGGCTGGAGGGATCCGTATAGCGCTTCGTGCATCCTGGTAGCTGGCAGGCATACGGTTTCTGTATCAAATAGAGCGAGAATCGGTAGAGCGTTGTTGCGTTAGTACTCGTATTTGCCTCAGATTCGAATACGAATCAAACCACAACGGCTCAATGCCGCTGCCTAAAACTATGCAATTGATTTCTAGCATTCGCCCTTCAGCCTCTTCTAACTCACTCACACCCGCACATAGCACATATATACACACACACACACACCCAAACACACACACACAACACGCATACACACCCATGAACCCACTAACAGATGGGCCAGCGTATTTGCCAAGTCAAATCGTTTTGAAATGTCATGCTGCATTTTGTTTATTCTGCCCAGCCAGGAGCCGCGAGCCGAAAGCGACAACAGCATTGGTAGTGCACAGGGAAAAATTACTTGTACCAGCTTTGGGAGCTTTTTTTTTAATGGAATTCTCTAAGAAAATCTTTTCATTCCATAAACTTCTTAATTTCAATCAAAAAATCTTATTTTTTCCACACTTCTACCTTTTCCAGGAATTCAAAAATAAATCATTTAAAAAAAAAATCCAAAAATAAGACCTGTCTAAACCATAAGATTTATACACGAACTAAGAACAAAATCGTTTCCAAGTATAACAGAAAGTATAGAATTATTTTAAATTTTCCATTTAAAAAATGACTAAACTATGATGTCATTTGTCTCTTAGATTCCTGGAAACCACTTAGTGAACAAGAGTCGAGATGAGGTAAAATTTTTTTAGAGTGCTGGCCTTGCATTGGAAACCGCGCCAAGCGAGCACACATTGTATCCTTTTGTGATCCTGATTGGCTGTCCTGCCCCTTCAGCTAGGCAACGAAAGTAACTCGTTTAGTTTATTCGATTTGCCTTCTGCTGTTGTTGGTGTTTTTGGTGCTTTTGCTGTTGGCTGGAATCGCTGGCCTTTTCAGCTGGTTTTGACCTTTTTTCCGGTTGTCGTACGCGCTGACGCGGCTACTGTTGCTTTTGCCCCTCACTCTCTCTATCTCTCTTTGTATACCATGGTCCATAGTCCGTTGTCCATATTCCGATTCCTATTCCTATTCCAGCTGCTGTTACTTTTGCCAACGGGCCCAGCTCTCTCACAGATACACCACACACACACACACACTCACGCAAAACTATAAATCACTCAGGCAGCGAAATGCGAAATGTGCACATGTCATGCTGGCAGCAGCAACAGTAGCTCCCCTATACGTTTTCTTTTTTTTGTTTTTAGAGTGGCTCCTTTGCCGGACCCGCTAAGCGCCTTGGCGTCCATTAAATCTTAAAGCCGCACTTCGGAAAACCCCAGCTGCATCTTTTGCCAGCCGCGAGCTCTTCAATTTCCTTTTGACACGCACTGCAAATTGCTAGGACGACCCCAAAAGCACCCCCAACCCAGCCCCAATCCCATACTCATATGCATCATATAGGGCAGGATACTCACCGTATCGTAGTGGGTCCTTTGATGTTTCGCCCGATCCGAGCTATTGCTGAACGCTTTGAGGCAACCTTTATACTGGCAGCCATAAGGCCGCTCGCCAGTGTGCGAGCGTTGATGAATTTTCAAATTTTCCAAACGCGAGAATGCTTTATTGCAGCCGGGAAACTGTAATGGAAAAACAAAAAAGAAAGAAAGGTGTCATCGAAAATTGCAATTACCATGGCGAATGGGGTAAGGGGTAGGGTTATGGCTACAAGGAATGTTGGAGAGGATAAAGGAAGATGAGTTGGAAGGACGCATAAAATTGTGACCTCGCAGCAGATGCTGTCACTGTTGCTGCTTTTGCCCGCAGGTGTCGCAGGCATACCCATCCCCATTCCCATGCCCATCCCACCATTGACCCACCTGAAAAGGGCAAATTACGTTTTTGCAACAGAAACTGAAACAGAAACATGTGTAATGGCAAAAGGCAGCAGCGGCAGCAGCAGCAAGTTGATGATGTCCGAGCCTTTTTTGATCGAAAAAAAGAGGCAAGAATCCATCAATTACTCAAAAATCAAAATGAAAGAGCATGCCCAAAGGGAGGAGTCGGGTTCGTGGGCTGAATTCGAGGATAGAAGATGTAGCGAGTGTTTGCCCTAATAACATTACCAGCAACTCTATTTCAAGTGGACTTCGGACTCGGATTCGGATTCGGACTGGGATGAGGATGAGGATGCGGACTCCGCATCTCTCGCCCTGTCAATTTCTGTGATTGCCCTGCGCCGCACAATTCATCATCCCAGCGATGGCGCATCAAATGTCAACACGTGCATGATACAAACAAAAACACAAAAAAAATAAAGGAAAATGTAACGCACAAAATGGGTTCTTCACGAGAAAAGTCTTGTTTGGACGCATAAACAAATGCGCCAGCTGGTCCAGGGAAAACAAGGAAAAATCCAAATCCATTGTTTGATTTTGAAAAATGATATTCTATGAGGGATTGGAAAGGTTGGTAAACAGATAGAAAAATATATCTCAATAAGTTCCCGGACTAAGTTAATATTTCTCTCCAACATATAAGGTTTTAAAGGGGAAAAGCTTGATGGAAAATCTCTTCATTTTAATAAAATTCTTACCGGGCATTTGTTGGGCTTCTCGCCGCTGTGGACTCGCATGTGGATGAGCAGCTTGTAGCGGGCATTGAATGGCTTATAGCGCCTGGGGCAATCCAGCCAAAAGCAGGAGAAGTCCTCTCCCTTTCGGACATCCACATGGCACTTCTCTATGTGCTCCACAAAGGCCTGTTGATGGGGAAACTCTTCATCGCATCCCGTCCAGCGGCAGATGAGTGGAACAGCTTCAGACTCTGCTTCAGCCTCTGGATCACAGCATGCTGAATCCGTTTTGTTATCACTTTCTACCGGAGTCGCAAACACCTCATTGTCCAAGTCATCTTCGTCCTCGTTGTAGTTCTCATCATCCTCACTGTCCAGGTTTCGGAATTCCTCGACCTTAATATTGTCTTCCGTCAAGAAGTTGACCAGATCGGACTTACAGCAGTTTTGGGCTTGCTGTTCCGAGTTCTGTTGCTGAAGTTCCTGCTGGTGCTGCTGCTGGATGAGATGCTGTGTGAATTGCTGCTGCTCGCCCAGCATGAGTTCATCCAGTTCATCGATGGTCCAGATGGCCTTGTGCTCACGATTGGGCTTCTCGATGGCCTGGGCCATGTTGTTCTGGTAGTTCTCCGAGGCATACGCTGATCCCTGATAGAGATTCGCGTAATCATCGTAGTTACTGGCGCACATGGGAATGCATTTGGGGGTGCCAAAGGTGGAGTTCATAGAGGGAAGTTTCGTTGGCGAAGCCACCTCCTCTGACCTGACCTGCTCTTCGAACACATTGGCCAACTTTGGCGATGCGCCGCTCGATGATGCGGCGGCTGACATCTCGCCGAGATTAAAGTTCAGCCAGGCATCAAGGTGCGGTGATGAGCACGGTGATTGGTTTTTCGATTGGCAATTAATCTCGTCATAATTAAAATAATCGATATCCAGATTAATGGAGTCATTCGCCGCTTGTACGGGATATTGGCTGTTCTGGGCACTGCAGGGTGTATATGGTGTGTACGGGGTGTATGGGGTATACGGTGTCTGCGGCGGTTGCAGCAGACCTGGCAGCTCTGCTTCTCCAGTCAGTCGAGCTATATCCTCCGGTTCGAAACGAAAGATATCCTCACGATTAAGCTGGGTATATTGGCCCTGCTGATAGGGCATTCCTGTGTTTCCTGCCGCTGCGCAGACTATATCATCCTGATCCGAGTCCTGCTGCTGATCCTGACCAGCATAATTGTTGCAGTCACTGACAAACCAATGGTGTGAGAAGTCTGGGAATTGCAGTTCACTGGAGGAGGCAAAGCTGTCGCCCGTTTCCACTTTGGCTGGCACTCGGAAAATATCCCGTTCACTGTTAGTGGCCGTAATATTGGCACTTAGTGGGGGCGTCATGAGTCCGCCGTAGCAACTGCCCGGTTCTTTGCCAGATATCTCCGACGTCTTGACGTACATGCCGCCACTTTGGCTGGTCTTCATCGTCGATAACATGCTATATGTTTTCTTTAGCTCTGTCTCTGGTGATTTGCTGTCCGTTCTTCTTGGCCGGCCGCTTTCACTTTCGCATTTCCGGCAGTTGTCTGGGAAGGTTGCCAATCTTTTTTTTTTTTATTTTTTTACGGCCACCGAACGCGGGAAATCCCAGAAAAATCGACTAACACACGAACACGAAAATCCGAGAGTTTTCTAATTTCTAGTTCAACACTTGCGATGTTCACGCCACCGCGATCTGGCTGACAATAAACCGGAGAGCTGCTGCGGCACGATATTTAAACGCCCGGAACGGTATGTTTCTACGGGAAAGGGAACGGGGATGGAAACGGGAACGTGGAGCGTTGGAACCTGTCTCTGCCGCTGTCGCTGCTTGCGTCGATGTCGCAGAGATGGAAATGGGCGATCGCTGCTCGAGTTTCCTTTGCCTTTGGCACGCACATGTGCTACCGCTGCTGCTGCTGTTGCTGCCGCAGTCGACGTCCATCCATCCCTCCACCTTACAATACCCCTACCCTTTGCCCCACCGCTACCGCTCTAACCCCGTCCCCCACCAACTAGATTTTTCCGATCTTTGGTGTAGTTGTACTCGTCTTGTTTTAGTCCCATTGCTGACGATGTGGTTGTTGTTCTTGTTAATACTGTTATTTTAGGCTTATGTTTGTGTATAGAAATTATGCGTGAGCTACACCGAGTGCCCAGTGGAAAATGGGAAGCCCCATGAGCGTTACAACAGAATATTAAAAAGGAAATTTAATACACTTAACCATATTAAATATGTATGCTGATAAATAATGAAAATATATATTGTTAAGGAAATTAAAGAATGTTGTATACCTAATAATATTTATACCATTTCTTAGTAGACTAGACAGATTGCTAGGTAAGCTGATGGTTTACATGACATAACCAACCTATTTTGGGGAACTTGGAAAATTGATACATAATTTGGTTAAGCATTAAAAGAATATAAGACTACATCACTTAGAAGAGAAGTTTTTCCATATACCACATGTAAATCCAAATCCAAATCCAAAACCTTAGAACCTATCCAATCTCATCACATTTTCCACAGTGCACTTGACCGTGGCAGTGTCGCTGTGCTCGGTTGTGATCTTCTGGATCCTCAGGCCATTTCCCCGACCATTTCCCCCCCCATTTTCCATTTCCAGCCGGGCTGCATTGTGCGATCTTGTTGTTGCACACATGGTGTGCAAGTGTGCGATGCTGCACTTTGCGGCCCCTGTGGTTGTTGTTGCAGCTAGGCTGTCGAATGTTTTAGCACTATTTTTTATTGCCACATAATTTTCTTTTTGTGTGTGTTTTATCCTCCTCATTTTTTTTTTTTTGTTTTGCTGCACAGAATCAGCAGGCGGGCGTATGTAAGTACTGTACTATATACGAGTACATGGGCTAAATTTATTAAGGCAACTCATTTGCCAGTGCGACAAATAGCACATACTCATACATCTCGCTCACACACTCTTTGGCTCCATGCAAATGCATCTTTGCAGAATGCAATTTTTGCCTATTTTTAGCACTCTCAGCTCGACCGCTAATGCCTGACAATATGTTTTTAATTTACGCCACCAAAAAGGCAATTGCAAAACTATTTGTTCCCTTTTATCCATGGGCGTATTGTCCTAGGTCCTCAAGTGCATTGCCCATAGTGGATGTAATTGCGATAGTGACGTTTCCGGAGCATGAGTCAGTTTCCTTTTATCCCAATACCAATCCACATTCACATCCATTTCGATTTCCCTTTTTTTTCAGCCCATCGCGGCACTTCATCATTAAATGATGCCATCTCCCCTATAATCGCCATATATTTTTTATGATTTTTGGCAAGCGTCGCGCTTTGGCGCACGTTCACCCGAATGGTCTGGGTTATGGATTGGGGATGGAAATGTGGATGGGTATGGTTGGCTTTTTTTTTTGGTTGGTTGCCTTATGGCTGGGGATGGATGGGCTGGGTTGGCCTAGGTTGGCAGCTGCCCCCCTTCGAAGGGGGTCTCTCTCTGCTCTCTGCTCTCTGCTCTCGGCCCGAACGCGTCAAGTCAATTCAGAAACGTTTAACACACAATTCCTGCCACTTGCTCGCTCGTCATTTGCGAATCGGTCGGAGGGCTGGCCAAGAGTTTGGACCACGGCCAAAACTGTGCGGCCACTGCCTTTGTTGTCGCACGATTGCGACAACTTACATCATTCTTAAAATTAGTCGATTTTGGCCATACTTTTTGGCGACAAGTGCACTGGGGGAAAAATGAATTTAAAATGAGGAAAGGGTAAAAATAAAAATGTAATTTATGGAGATATATTTTCTAAGCCTTAATGTATCTTCAATATCGCATTTTATCCATAAATCTGTAATCTTTTTAACTCATTGAAGTAATTTAACATTCTATTAGAAAAATCCTTCTATTTGAAAACTTTCCTAAGTGTACCATATCTCGGATATATGTCTGACCAAGACCTATAGACCTGATGCCAATGCGAGTTGATGTTTATATGAGTGGTGATGACGCGCGACGTTTCTTGGGAAAACACTCGACCATTTCCGTTGGTGATTATCAATTTTCCCGAGATTTAAGGTAATTTCTTGCTGTGCGTGGGCAGCGCGCCTCTGTTACCCAATTTATGATTTGTCTGGGGCAAGTTTCCATATCAATTAAAGCCTCGAATGATTCACTTTCGTTGGCAATTTGTATGAGTTTGGGGGAAAATGTTCCATGGTTTTACCCAGGCAATTAATTAGCTGCATAAGCTTACAACAGCAGCTCTGAATGACCCTTGTCCCTTTGGCTGCATGTGTAAACATTTTTTTCGATCAAACTGTAATATTTTTTTAGCGCAGTGCAACAAATACGCCGCAACATTAATGGATAAACTCGAAATCCGAATGTTTGGTCAGTGTTTGGGGTGGGTGGGAATTATGCGGCATGCCAAATGACTTTAATGAAAATCGTAAATAAAACCGAGACCAGGCGAGCACTGAAAAAGCGTACTTAATAAAATTTATTTGTTGCCAAGTAATGAGACGGTGCGGTGTCGATTTGTTAATGAAATTTTTAAACTTTATGTTTTCCGCTCTCTGGTTCGAGGATATATATATATATATATATATATATGTAAACATGAACACTTGTGTATTGGTTCTTGTTAAGTGCGTGTGTGTGAGTGTGTCGGTTGGGTTCATAAATTTGTCAATGATTTTCCACTTGACAATGCTGCAAATGGTCGCGTTTATTTACTCCACATTCTCCATCAAGTGAACTGCTGATGTGGCCATGGGTTGGGGCCACAATATCTGGGGTAATTCTTGTTGTGGAAACTACCAAATGGTTATGGCTTTTGTTTATATCCAATCATAGACATCGTGTGTGCGTTTGGGACTGTCTTTAAATAAATAAATAAAGCAGCATTGGAAAGGGTTGGCTGTGATTATCTGTCAAAATAGAATTATTATCTTTTCTAGGAATTTGGGAAGTAAAACTAATTTCATTAAGAAATAATCACTCCCTTAAAACCCACTGTAAGTAAAAGCAAAAGAAAATTGTCAGTGCTAATGTGATTTCTGTTTGGCAAGAAGTCAAAAGATCTTTGCACTCGCCAAAGAAAAGTGGGAAAACGCAGACGTTTTCCTATGTTGAGGTGTTCAGACACAAACACATCTTCAACGCTCGCCTTCATCGCACTCAACAAGTAAATTTGTCAGGCAGTAATTTGATTTTGTTTAGCCGAGGGAAATGGAAAACCTCGACATCGTCGCTGTTTAATTTGTAATTTGAGCCGCGCAGGCGCGACATTCAACTTGAACTATCCTGCAGCACCCACGCTCCCCGAGTGCACCCTCCTCTACCGAAAACCATGATCCCAAAATTCCCCGCGATGTCCTGTCAAAATGTCAAATGATTGCGTTGACATGCATGTCGGAGTAGTCGCTATCGCAGCAAAATATGTTTTAGCATAATTCGATTTGAAAACTGATTTCTGGTCTCTCTCTCTCTCTTTTAGGCGCTGGAAAAGCGAGTGAGTGTCACTCAGCCTAGTCGGTTGCATTATAATGAGCCGTTGCCGTTGACCTTTTGACATTTTACAACTCGAAAGCCGAAGCCGAACACATGTGGCAAGTTCAAAAGTTGACAGCAAATTGACTGTATTTATAAACATTTTAAAGGCGTCGCATAATAAAAAAAAAAGAAACGAAGGAAAACTGAAGCAGTTCACGCCCCCCGAATGAATTTTAATATGCAATTTTTATGATTATTGCGCCGGGGGGAAAATCTGTGGCATCTGTGCAGGATTTGAGGCGTTTTTATGATCGGTTCTCTCCCTCCCGTGGGCGTTACAACTCCGCATTTACGGTGGCATTTTGTCTACTCATTAAAACACTGACCATCCATAGATCGTTATTTACTGTTTCGTTTAATTAGTTAAACATGTGATTCATGCACCCGAACCGTATCGTATCGCATTTCCAGGCAGGAGTCAAACTGCATAGTTTGTCCTGTGCGTCCACTTAGAGAAAGAAAGATCAAGAAAATATCAACAAGAAATGTTAATTATAACATTGCAGACATCTTAACGAAAGAACTGTTTAGTTTCAATATGAAGTAAATTATTATTTATGAACTTTTTCTCTCCCAGTGTACCCGAAATCAATGGCCCATCAAAATTAGTTACGTTCACATTAGCCATGGCAATGGCCATGGAACGTGGCCCGGTCAGCTTTTTAATTAGTTTTGGACGCCTGACAGTCAAAAGTCGTCATTTTGCGGACACAAGGTTACCCGAAAATGGAAAATGGCGAGCGGAAAATGGAAATGAAAATGCAAATACAAATGCACATGCAACAGCAAATGAAATTTTGCGAGCAACATTCTGACACGAGGATACAACTCTTCATTAAATTCATTTCGCGGATTTGCAACCGATGGTGATGATGATGCACCGCAAACATGAGGATGATGATAATGGCCAAGTCAGAAAGAATGTTGTCCATGTGTTGAATCCACGTGAGAATGGAAACGAGGATGGAGCACAGGTGTCCCTTTGGTGAACTCTTTCCCCAATTTCCCACGCACTTTACTCACAGCTCATAATTAAGCCCAAGTCATCAGCCGAGTTCCCATCGTATCCATATGTAGATCCAATCCCAATGGATCCCGATAATCACACGCGGAAATGCCTCGTTTGTCCGCCGACAACCCATCGAAATTAAAAAGTGCTCGTCAGTGGCAAAGACAAACAATAAACCGGAGCAACAAGGGGGCGAGAAAATGGGAGAAAATCGGAGTGGCACATTTGAGTTTTCAATCAGGCTGGCATTGAGGCGTTACTTGCGACACGTCTGGGCCTTTGGGGTTGCAATAGTCTCTCGCTTTGGGCCACGCATCATTAACGGCTTTTTAATTGGGAATTACGGCGATGTCTTGGGAGCCCTGCCTGTCCTGGCTGCTCTCTGCTAAGGCTTTCCCACACAATCGATTTGATTTGCTGACATAATATTTTCTCTACTGATTCTTTTTTCCCTCCGCTGGTGCTGGTTTTGCCCCGTTTTTGGAAAAAGCCAAATGGCAGTAGCAGGACTTTGACTCATTTCCTGATGTTATTTTTGCATTTGGCAGCATTATTTTTTCATTTTCCAAAAGCGTTTCTTTCTCTCTACTCCGGCTGCTGGAATGTCTTTTTATATTTTCTTAATTTCAGTAAAGTTGCCATGCATATGTCCTGGGCTCAGAAAGAAAAGGCAGATGCAGCAGGAAAGAAATTCCACATAAATGCAGTTTCCTGTAGCCCGGCTTTATGAGTGTGTATGTGTTTGTGTGTGTGTGTGTATGTGGCTAAAGCATTTCAGGTTGCAGTGATAGCATAAATAAAATAAAAGCACCAGGACGAAGCCAAAGATGAGGGAAAAGCGCGTGCCGAGCAGAACGTGAAAATATGCAAGAAATTCATGCTATATACTACACCATACCGTACTATATAGTAGTGTGTGTCTGTGTGAAAAGCTCGCGTTGAGCAAAAATAAGAAAAATGGAAAAGTCCTCGTCTGCTGCCGACGCTGTTGCAATATTTCTCTTAATGTGTTGCATTAATTTCACCAGCATAAAGATAAAGGAACAAAGAAAAACTGTCAGGCGAACAAAAAGGCGGGATTTTGCTTCTTCCACTCTCTCCTCTGCTTTTTTTTTTGTAAAGAATCACTTTAACCAAAATACTTTCTGTCAAGCCACTCTCTTTTAATGGTCCTCACTCGACCCTATTAGACAACAAAATTCGTTTGAAGTGGCAAAAAGCGTTTCCATATGTCCTCTCAGCGAATTGCTCTAAAAACCCTGAAAATTTTACGCGAGAAAGAAAGCCTAAAGCCTTTCAGTTTTCTATTGCTATGGGGAAAATGCAGTTTTTACTCACCTTTGCTGAGCTATTTTTTCTGAATTTAGCAAAATATATAAATCACACAGCCTCAATGACCCCATGAAAGTTGCATAATGAGATTCAGGAACAAGGATGGAGAAGTGGGTGGAGCTGTGAATGCTGAAAAGTTGATTGCATCCTCTTTTCCGTCCCCTTCTCCAATGTGCCAACTGACAAATGCAGACGGAGCATCCAGACTCAGCAGCCAGGCAGCCAGAACAAAATTAAAGCAGTGCTGGCTGGATGAAATTAAATGAAAAACACATGACTGGAGCCCGTGGCCTGTGGCCAGTTGTCCGTGACCAGCCGGCCGCAAAAAGTATCTTTAATCGGATTTTAATGGAACGCTTTTAAGCAGCAACGCCACCTGAGAGACCCCGGGCCAAAGAAGTGAACATGTTTCCTCATTTTTATTCCTTTTTCTCCGTAACCGGAATATATATATATATGTTTATTCACCTGCCCACCACATCTTCCTCAGGATTGCATATCTCGTAGTTGCTTGAATCGTTTGCTACTCAGCATCAAAATTATTCGTGCCTGCCACTCGGTGGGCAGCAGGAATATCAGGCGGTACAGAACGGATGCCAAATCCGGAAGAGTGACCTCTTGCTCACCACGCAACATTCCGGCCACCACTCGCTTGGCCACATCCTCTCCGCTGATCAAAGGATATAGATCATCGATTGCCATAGAATGTGTCAGCTGCGTTATCTCATCGTTGGTGCGCAGAAAACATGGCAATACGGTGGTCACATGGATGTCCTTCTGGTTCTCCAGAGCCAACTCCATTCGCAGGGCTCTCATGTGAGCCATGGTTCCAGCCTTGCTGGTTGTGTAAGCCGTACTGTAGGGCAAGGGGAAGACACCTGAGAAATGGTTTTAGTCATCAGAAGTTTTCAATATTTTTTTGAGAAAAATCTCACCTGCCAGAGAACTGATGGTGACTATGAAACCTTTGCGCATCGCCTTCATTGGTGGCAGGAAAACAAATTTCGTCTAAAGGAAAAGAAAAGATTTAAAAGAAAAAAATCTTTCTAAGCAGAAAAGCCACTTAACCCTTAAAGCCACTCTTATTAAAATTATACGGTGCATTATGCATTAATCTTAACAATCTGATAATAACCAGCTTAAGGGCATTAAAAATAATTGCCCATAAAAGACACCCATTAAAAGCATTTCTCTTAATTAGATCTTACCCAGAAATGTGACGTAAGGTTAACGTCGAGCATGAGCTGGACATCGGCCGGGTCCGGGTTTATTAAGTTACGGTGCAACATGACGCCTGCATTATTAACTAGAACAGTCACTGGGCCCAGATCATTAACCACCTTGGCATTAAGTTCAACCAGTTCGTCGTGTTTGGTTACATTAGCCTAGGAATTAATCATTTAATTGATATTTATAATTAAGTAAATAATTGAAGGGCTGTAGGGCCGTTTGATAGCTCTTAGAAACCAGTTTGGCAAGAAACCCTTGATCGTAAGAATTTACCTTGTACGCCTTGGCACGAACGCTATAACTTTCTTGAATTTGCTTGACAGTGCTCTCGGCTCCAGAGAGATTGATATCCACCACGGCAATGTGACAACCCTTCTTGGCCAGCTCCAAGGAAATGGCACGACCCAAGCCATGACCAGCTCCAGTAACCTAGATCAAGGAATTGATATTATATAAAGATTTAGACGGGAGTAAAATGCTATGGAAATCGATCTTATTACTACAACCAGAATTATTGCAAAGCTGGCTTATAATTTTCTTAACAAACAACTAATTATTTCGAGAATGACATTTCATAAAAAAGCTTGCATGATTATTTTTAATTAAACTTAATAAAAATAATTAAGTCATATCGATAGTTTTTTAAATTAAAAAATAGAAAAGCTGAAAGTAAATAAGTGAGATCTTTGCCCTATATAAGCAATTACAGTCGTAAATTAACAATGATTCTTTTCTTGTTGCCAAATTCATATCGCCGGTTATTCCAGTTTGTTATTTATGTTCTTGAAGCACCAAATATTTTGGGAGTACACAAATTTTTGGGTTTGTCATTGAAATGTAAATAAGTTTTTTAATACAAAAGTCACTTTTTAAAATATATGTTAATTCTTTAAAAACTTTGATGTTTTGTATATAAAATTGGATTTTACGCTTAAACATTCAATAACATTTTATATTAGTCAAAAAGTTAAAAATATCATTTTATATTATTATACAAAAATTTTAAAAAGCGAAATTTATAAAAAATACTCTCCTTATTGTCTTCTCACTTTAAAGTAATACTCTCTCGAAAGTCAATTTATGCAAATATTGTTTACTTTAAGTTATTTTGTTTCTTTCTTTTTGGCTTAAACTCACCACGGCCACTTCTCCCTCGATACTTTTTGACTTTGAGCAGCAGCAGAGTTTGCCGATCAGCTGGCTGAGAATAGCGGCCAAAATGAGTAGTGGAGTTATAGCCGCGAGGCCGATCAGTCCGATGAAGGCCTGAAGTTTAACCAGTACTTCCGACATTGCTTTTTGTATTTTGTTTGTTGGCTTTCCGCCGATTAGAGCAACGACCGTACCGAGAGAATGTCGAAAACGCTTTGAATCGCAAGTCGCGAATCTCAAGCCAAACAGACGCGGATTGAACGTCGAAAACTGGCTGGCCGTCGAGATTGCATTTCGTGTGATTCCACAATGACCCGGTTCGGCAATTAGCCGCGACTTCGAGTGCTTTTAATAAATACGAACGTGTGGCAAGCAACGAAATAGCAACCCATTTACCACATATCAAAACCATAAAAAGAGCCTGGAATTATTTAAGGGGACAGGGAGCGAGCTAGCTAGCATTGTCAGCAAATAAATAGAAAAGTCACCTCCTGGACAGATGAGGCAGTTCGTGGCACTCATGGCAGTTGCCGCGGTAAGTAATGTTCAATATGGGCACACAGCAGCAGCAGCAGCAGCAGCGGCGGCAGCAACAACAATAACAACACCAGCCCATTAGTAATAAATAAAAGCAATTTTTTGTGAACTACAAATGTACAACGGCTACATATGCATATGAGCATCGAAAACATATATACTTACACAAACATTCTGGGCTCCAGCTCAATAAAAAACAGAGAAAAAAGACACAGAAAAAAAGACATCAAGAGATGCCAACGAAAAAATGATTTTCTGACAATAAAGTCGATATCCATAAACGAAAACGAGCCGAGGCAAAAAAAAAGAAAGTCAGAGCACCAGCGCATATATAGAAATCGGGAAAAAAGAAACTATATAGACAGCCAAAGGATAATTTTATAGTGCGGGGGAAGAGGAAGGGGTAATGGGGAGAATAGAGCGTGACAGGGCGAGTGCCGGCTGTGGTTTTAGTTAAAAATAACAAAGAGCGAGCGACAAAAACGAGATTCGTGAAATATGTATATTTCATATTCAGTTTTTTCTAGGGTGCTTAAGCTGCTCGATAAAGCTTGCCATTAATCGGAGGAGTAATGAAAATATTATCAATTGGGTAATATGCAAGAATATTTATAGTATTTACTACCATGAATAAATTTCACTTTTTACAAAGCTATAAAGTTTGATATTCATTTCTGTTTTATAGAAATTTAAATAAGGTGATATCACTACATCAGCATATGTTTTGAGATACTATTGTTTTTAATAAGCGATGTGAGATTCTCTTAAAATGATTTTAAATATTTGTAAATATCTTTATTTTAATTAGATTTTAAAATTTCAAAAATTTATCAAAGGGTATTCATTAGTTGCTTTCCCAAAAAAAACCACAGAATATTACCCATCACATCTCTTTCTTCTCCCGCTCTGGCAATGGCATTTTAATAGAGTTTTAGCCGGGCTAAGGTGCTGCAGCAATCGTAGCAGGTTAACCCCCCGCTCCCCTCCACCTAACCTCACCCCTTTCTCCTACAGCCCGCTTCTCTCCCCACTACCCCCACTTGCGACACTTTTGTTTTTGTATCAATTTATTGCACTTGGCGCACTCGAGGGCATGTGTCGATCGCTGGCGGAATAGCTTTGGTTCACTGAAAATGAAAACGACCCCAAAACCCGCCTCCCCATCCTCTTAGCCACACATATGCGGCCTGGAATTCTCCTTTGGCTTCATTTCCATGCATTTTGGCGCAATTACGAATTCAACTTCTTGGATTTGTTTTTCATTTTATTTTTTCATATATATATATTTACTCCACACTGCACGTGATGCAATTTTGTATTTATTTAAGCGAACATTTCGCTTTTGGATGTTGCCAAAATCGGGTCACACTTTGTGCACGTGGTGCCGCGCTTTGCATGCGACTTTTTTGCGGCTATTGGGTTTCGATGATTTATGGCCAGGGCGTCTGCGTATTTGGAGGAGGAGGAGAAAGGAAAAGCAGGAGCTGGATCAGGAGCACAAGCACATGGCACTGGCTGACTCCTTTCCATTTACCAGCCTTATCGGCGGTGGCAAGCTATAAAGATACAGATACTCGAGCACACCGCTGTGAGCCCCTTAATTGTCAAAACTCCGTGCCACTCAACGCTGTCCCGACAACAACACTTCAGCTTCAACTCAAAGGTACTCAAAGAACACTGGCGGTAAAGTGAAGAGTGCCAGGGCAGTGCTGTCAAAGTATGAAACAAAAAACTAGCCAAGTTTGAAAAAAAATTAGTAAATTAATTAATAAAGATTTTTCTTGGCTATTTTACACTAATAAAAATATCTTAGAAATATATAGGAAGTCTTCTACGTAACCTACAATAACAGCTTGAAATTATTTAAAACTTCGAAGTAGTAAAAACCATTAATAAGGCTCAATTGTAAAGTATTAAAAATTCTAAAAATTCGAATTTTTATAAAGGAAAAAGGAACATTCCCTTAGAATAATCCGCAATAATTTCAAAATAATAATTAAAGGATACATACAAGTAAAAAAATAAAAATACATCACAAAAATTAGTTATTTTTGATCAAAATATTTTTCTACATAAATTTAATCATAATTCCATGAAGAAAAAAGCCAAATTCTACTATAAAATTCCCTCAGTTGACTGCACTGCTGAAGAGTTTTAACCCGCAGCGCCAGAAAAAATGTAGTAAAGTGCTTAAGGTAAAGGATTAGTGGTGGTTAAACCTGTGCACCGAAGTTTCCCACGGCAAAGGATAACCCTGCCACCGAGCAGGAAGGAGTGAGATTGCTGAGCCGCAGATGGCGGACGAAAGTGAAAAGTGTGGAGAGTTTGAGTGCTCAAACGCGTTAATCTCGATGGCATGGCTCTTCGTTTTTTCCATTAGTTTTGTAATATTTCACATTAGCATGTCCCGGGCACTCAGAGCTTAGGAATCTTGTAAAAATACAAGAGTCAAACCAAAGAAGAGAAGGGACGAAAGGGGGAAAAGGCGAGGCAATTTCTCAGCGCAACTGTCAACACCAATCTGAAGTGCTACTGCAACAACAGAAACGGCAGCAAATGCAGGACATAATGAGACAGCCACGGATAACAGGCCATTTCGATTATGATCCTTGAACATGTGTTTCAGTTTAAAGCAAAGGCAGCAGCAGCAGCAACAAGTACAACTGGCAACTAAGTAAATAAATTAGCTGGTCGTGTAATGCGTAAGAATCTAAAAGGATCGAAAACATTCTGCAACACGACACCCGGCCAGGACTCCAACTAACAGCTACTGCATCTACTCATCCCGTCGAATGTGTTTGTTTAGGTGCAAGGGTAACGGATTCTCACGCCTGCCAGGAGCATCCGCATGGATGTACATATATGTATATCCAAAATCCACTTGTACCCGCACACTGACAGTCGAATGTCATAATTCAACAAAAGGAGGCAAATGCAACGGCAGGTTGCCAGGATAATCAAGTTGCAGCTCCCTGTTTGTTTAGCTGAGGTTTTCCTCTGCCGCCAGTCGAACCCCATTTTCGTTTCATTTTCTTTCCTTTTTTTTTATAGCTCCCGAAGATTTTATTGGTGCCGCCGCCCGGAATGGGAATGGGATAATCCTTATTGACATATTTATGCACGGTTCAAGCAACGAAATGGAAATTTTTGGCGTCGCATGGTTCGCCGGCATTTGCCTTTCACGGGGGCGTGGCACTGGGCTAATGGGCACCACATGTAAGTGTCTCTAGGTGAATGAATTAATGTCCCGCCTCTAAAACACTCGAGGGGTGTTCACACGGAGAAAAATAGAGAAAATGCCTTCATTGTAAGGTAATAAACCTTGAAAGAATATCTTTGAGATTATGGAAAATCTTATCCGACTAAATTATGTATAGTACTCACTTTTTTCTTTAAACAACAAAACAAAGTTTAAACAACTTTAAATTTCCTTCTGTGCATTAGCATTTTTAGTCAGAGTTCGAGTTCAAGGTGCAGCACATGGCTGTCGAGTTGTGTGGGAATTTTCTAAGGAAAATACGTTACGACGGGCCGGCCAACACCTGTGTCAATGCGGCAGAGATCGGGCGTTGCGCTGCTTAATTCTTGTAATTAATTTTCCGTGCCACAGACAGACGCATTCGCACACACAGGAATAAACACACAGACAGGGCAGACACACTGACAGAGGGAAAGGACAATGGAGGATGTCCTGATGCACGGCATTAACTGAGCATGCAAACGATGCGTCAACGATGGTCCTCGGCCCAGGCAGCTAACGCTATTATTTACACAACAAACACTTGTAATTACACAAAAGGGTGGTGGGTGAACCAGGAGCAGGAACAAAAACCGAAGCAGGGGAACGAGGATGGGAACCTGAAGCAGGACGGAGCCGCAATTAAAAGCGAAAGGATAAACACAAATAAATGAGCGACACAAAAGGGGCAGACAAGACAAGCTGAAGGCTGCAGCTGACTTGGCTGACTTGGCCGACTGGGGCTAAGACAAAGGCAACACTCTGGGCCGAAAGACAACAATGACAAGCGGACGGCATTAAATAATTGCTCATACACGAGTGCTACGCACAAAGTCAGTTAGAATAGAACAGGAACAGGAACAGGACAAGCCGAGCAAAAAATTGTCCAGCACGTGTTGCAAGCTTGGCTGCAAGGACCAAACCCAACCGAAGCCCCTTCCACCTTTTCGGCTCGGTGTGTGAAAACTAGTTAACAGCTTTTATTTACTTGGCAAACAGAGTAAAATGTTGTAAAACAACAAATGCTTAAGCCGCAGGATATAAGCATAACAGCACTCACAAGCACACACGTCCTTCCACTGCAAGGAAAATGCCAGGATTAAGAAACATAAATAAGTTTTCTTTCGTGAAATGTTCACCATTACGCATTTTCAATTGCAAAAAGTATTAGGTTTAAAATGGGTTCTTAAGATTTCGACCATTAAGGGTAATAAGTTTAAATTTATTTTCATAAATGATAATCTAAATATCTTAGGTCAATAAGGATAATCCAATCAGAAGTTTAGTTTCTTACATTCAGTTCAGTTTTCAGTCTTCCGTTTTCTTACAACCTTTTCGTGAATAAAACTTTTCCATCTTTCCCCATGAATAGAAGTTAACACTTTCTGATATTCGTATATACTTCTCTTTTGTGATTACAATAAATATTTTCTGCCAGTGCATTCCACTCAGGGACACGAACATGACCAGCTTGGCCAAAAAGTCCACGTTGTCCACTGTGGTCAGCGGAATGGAGACGGCGCTGCTGATGGAGGCGAGAGCGTGCAACTGACTGCGGGGCTCGGACATCTCATAACCAAAGTGAAAAGTTGGAAAAACAATAACAGGCAACGATGCGGGGCACACATGTCCTGCCTGAGCAATCGCCTCCAAAGCAGTATCCTTCAGGCCAGGATGGCCACGACGAGGGAGAAAACCCAGGCATCCAGAACTCTGCACCGTGACAAAGTTTATGAACCACAATGGCGAGAGAGGGAGAAAGAGAGAGGAAAAGCAGCTCACTCAGCATTCGCCTCGGCTCACAGGACACGGTCAACGTGGCGTATGCACAACGTCCAACGGACAACAAGTACTGGCCTTGTAAACAGGCCGCACACACATAAATTATATGCCTTTATTTAGGCGAAACAATGTAAAAAGCAAATGCAACTTGATGACAACAACAGGCTGCCTAATGCAACAACAGAAACAGAAACTTTCGGTAAACAAACGAGGCAAACTAAGCGATTTTCAACTAATGACGTCGACCAGAAACCAAAATGCATTGAAAATGGGGCGGCAACAAGTTGAGCCTTGGTTCTTAACTGTGTGCAAAATTCAATGACCAACCGATGACAACAGCCTCAAGATCTATGAAAAACCAGGATGGCAACCACTCGAACTGAAGGATATTGGCAAGGAGATATGTGCATATATGTGTGTAGGCTGGGCGTTGACAACAAAAGCCTGCTTAATGGCAATAATAACAGATTTTAGCCAACCACAAAGAAAATGTCAGTGTAGAGGCATATTTTTTGGCCAGAAGCAGGTCGGTTAATGGCCAGTAAGTGTGGCAGGAAGTTCGCTTCAGATGCACAATGTTTGCTGTCCATCGTGTAGTGACGACACATCCTTGTGTGTCCTTGGACTTGCAGTCCACTTTGAATGAAAATTCATTAAGTGAAAATGCATAAGTTGGCAGAAGAAGAAACAGGAACTGTGGCTTCATCCTCTTAATAGCCAAAAGGAGACCACATCGTTGAACAACCGCAGCTCCCCATTTCCATCAGCCAGTCGATTGGCTCAATTTGCCTTCAATTAAAAATAAATTGAGGCACCTTGTTCTGCGGCTAACTAAATAGTCGCCCCGCATTCGGTGTTCTCTCCCCCTTTTTTTTTGAAACGGGGAACGCGACCACCGCAGTATGGGGCCAAAAAAATTGATTTCAACTTCGGTTGCCGACGCGTATTTATAGGCTGAATTGTCATTTTCCTCTTTTTTTTGGTTTTTGGTTCTTTTTTTTGTTGTATTTACTTCATCACAATCCCAACAAAGAGTTCTCGAAAAGAGCGCATAAAACAAACAAATCATGGACCGATACGCACACATAAAAATGCATAAATATTCTATTTTGAGTTGACATTTTGACAAGTGAATATGAATATTGCAGGCGCAGCGTACAATTTATAATTGATATGTATAAATAATGGACAAAGCTATTTTGTAAATGGGTTTAATGAAATGAACGAGTATAGCCCTTGTAATAGGTCGCCAATTACAAACAAGCCAAAACAAACATCCAGCCAAATAGAAGAGATGCACTTTCAGGTGACCTCGATGGAAATATATTAAAAATAATTTCATTACTTTCAATTTTTGCTTACATTTGCTTGGTAAACGAATATTTTTTAATATTTTATAAACTAGCTAAAAAAAACCTCAATTATTGACATAATTTAAATTCAAGTTATTTTACTTTACAATACACCCCTAGGCTCAGTACAGTTGCAAGCATTGAAATAAAATATACTTAATATATCACATTTTCAGCTAACTGCACTTTCAATTAAATTAAATTAGTTTTTGCTTAGTAACTTTAATTATGTTTGATGGCAAAACAAACTGTAGAAAAATTTGCTTTACACTTCTCAACTTGCAGCACCAAATAGCAAGCCAAAAAATGTGTGTCATGTTTGAGATTTCCCTGTCCCGGGTGACACAAAATTAAAGTCAATTTTGGATAGTGTTTGCCTGCCTTCAAAGCCCCGATGATGGAAAGCGAGGAACAGCTGCAGCTGGAGCTGGACAGGATTTCTGGAGCAACTCGCGAGGTTACCAACTTTGTTGATCTTATGGAACTTAGCAACAACTCGGAGCGTCTGATTGCCAGTGTCAACTCAAGCCTGGAAGCCCTCAACTCCGCACTCGATCACCTGGAGGAGCGAACGGAGAATGTTCTCGTAGAGCTAAGGCGGCTAATTGGCACGGAATTGAGGGTGCAGAGTTCACATGATGGTTGCGGAGATCCTGATGCCAGGGTGTAGGCGGTGAACTCAAAGAAAATTTACAATTTAGTGAAATAAAATATTAAAATAAAACACCGTTTTTTTCATTATAAGCTTTAAACTTTTCCTAATCGAATTTTTAAGTATGATAATTTCATAGGAATCCTATTGGTACATCTTTATAAGACATGAAAAGCCGTCAGTTTTTCTGTGTCGAATCCAATAGGGATTGAAAAACTTCGCGGGGGCATTAAAGTCGGCAGAAGATCCATAAAACGGCCGACAGTTTGTTTGTTTTTTATGAGAACTGTAACCCTAGCACACAAATAATTAGTGAGCTATTTTTATGGATCAGCAGCCTCGCCGCTGCGCATGCGCATGGAGAACACGATATTGAATACTGAGTGCCGCTGGAGTAGGAGGAATCAGGTGCTGGGGGTCTTCTTCCACAATCTTAATTAGAATTTACATACTCCAAATATTGTGTATGAGTCTGTGTATGTTGTTGTTGCTATTTGTGCACATGTTGCATTGCATTTGAAGAACTCGTCGTGCACTTAATCACTTGAGCCGTCGGCACCATATGGGGTCCTTTTTTTATGTTTTTTGTGTGTTGTGCGTCGAGCGGCATCTGGTGCATGGAATATGGACCGAGCGGTATAACCTGTTAGCCAGATATGCGGATTGAGCCGAAAATTATGCCACAAAGCTGACGCGCAACTCGACTGCGTTTAATTAACAATTAATAAAACTTTTAATTTTCCTGCAATTGGCACTGAACTCCGCCGATGACAGCGCTCAATATTATGTTAATGCCAGTGAGGCAGGAGGAGGAGGTTTATATATAGTAAGTGGGGAATTGGATAATGCCCGCAGATCCCAGCCATTTGCCCTGGTAATTCTTCATTAATCAGCGGCCCAATCATTTACGTAAATCGAAAGCGCGTGGAAAAGCGCAGAGCCACCAAACCTAATTGCAAGTTATGAATATCTCATCGGATATTAAATCGATGGCCGGCATTTAACTCCGACAAGCCACGTCCATGATGGCGATGATGATGGTGGTAGCCCATGATGACGCTGGAAATAATAATGAGGACGATGTCGATGAATGGGCTGAATGGTATCGTTGGCCGTCCGTTTGTCCCGCCGGAAGTGGCGACACTTAATTGCGTATTGAGTGCATTTTCAATTTTTATTGAACTGCGCCCAGTCGAGCCGTTGTGCTGCGGTTTGGTGCTATTGAATCCGTGGCAAGCGCTGCTGGGAAGTATGCTACGAAGTGGCGAATGGCAACCAGATCCGACAATGTAGGCGTGGCAATGACTCCCCACCGCACTCATTAGCGGTATCTAGTAGACATTATAACCAAGCAATAATCGATGCTCGAACTTGTCTTCTTATCAGGTGGCGCACATGCAAAAATATTCCGATTTACCTTTCGCAGATAAACGATGAAGTCAGTCTTTAGAAGCCATCCCGGCATACCGGTCGTATAGAAATGAGAGCCATAAACTGGTTAACTATTGCTCTAGTGACCTTGCTGGGTCACCGAACTACTGGCCTAGAGTTTGAAGAATGTTCCAGTGCCCCACAAATGGGAATTTACGTGGCTAGTTCGAGTAATTGCTCAAAGTATATTTATTGTGCTGGGCCGGGCTCCTTTGAAGCCGAGTGCCTAGCTGGCCATTACTACGATGAGAAGTTGGAACGCTGTCTGGATCGGAAATTGGTGAAGAGGTGTCAGGATCCTTCGGTCACCACCACCGCATCTCCTTCGGTGGTTAAAAAACCACCAATACCCATTGCTGCTCAGAAAACGGAACCACTGACCATAACCTTACGACTTTTACCAAATGCCGGACCTTGTTATCCCTATATGGTATGCTATGAAGGAGCGGGACTAGCCAAGGCTTGTACACCGGCTCATCTGGTTTCCTGCAATCGTGTTCAATCCACGGAGAATATCTCCAGTTGCCAAACAGGAGTCTATGGATTCATGGCACACCCAAGGTATTGCGCTTACTTCTACTATTGCTCCAGTGGATCCAAGCTGATCCATCGGTGTCCTTCGAACTTCACCTGGCACTACGAACGAAGATCCTGTGTCCAGCAATCCGAAAAGAAGTGCTATTCCGATGGACTTAAATTAACAAAAAAGAAGGCAGTTACTAGAAGACCAACCAGCAAAATTTCTAATGTTAGAATATAGATTTAATTTAAGTTAAAGTTTCGTATAAATAGCTACACATATACACCTAGCGTAAGCAACAGTTGAATTAAGAACTGCAAATGGGAAACAAACAAGAGCTCTCCGCGTAAATGCTTTTGGGTGGGGGCACACCTTCTTGGACTACTCTTCTTTTTATGATTTTTCTATTTCCAGTAAAACAGGTGGGAGCTGCGAACATCGAAGTGGTAGAAGCGCAGCAGCATGTAATCCTGCCACTTGGTGGGCAGTAGTCTAAAGCGAAGGGACAGCAATAATCGTTAGGAATAATCGTTGGATACCTGGGCTAATTCAATTCTCACCTGAGCAGCCATACACTGAGTGCAAATATTTTTGGCACGTACACCATGCGCTCGTTCAAAAGCACGCCCTTGACAATCTTCTCAGCCACGTAAGGAGTGGGCAGACCGGGATAGCTTTTCGCTATTCTATAAGAAGGAGTCAGCTTAGATCTAAGGATAAAAATATAACATTAATACTCACCCTGCATCACTGAGCAGGGGAAGATCTCCGCTGGTCCTCATCAAGTAGGCATTGGCCACTGTGGTGCGAACGTAGTCGCAGTCGGACAAACGTAGTTCAGCTCGTAGTGACTCCATGAAACCCTCGATTCCGTATTTGGTGGCCGTGTATATACCTGCTCCCGGCAGAGGAACTAGGCCTGATTGGAGAATAGAGTTATAAATCCAGTAGTTTTGTTTCAGTAACGAACAAGTTAACTTACCCGCCAAGGCATTAACTGCTATCAGATGACCGGACTTGCGGGTTATCATCTTGGGAAGGAACTCCTTGGTAGTCTTCAAGAGAATATGATTATTTAATATCCAATAAATCATAAAAGAAAAGCAGGAAATCTCACCATAATGTAGGATCCCAGATTGAGCTGCAGGATGGTGTCGATTTCATCGCTTTTCAAGGTGGGTGTGGAGGTCATGGGCATAAGGGAGGCATTGTTGACCAGTATGTCCACAGGACCCAACTCCTTTTCTACCTTGGCGGCCATCAGTTGCAGTTCGCGCGGCGAAGATACATCGTTCTGGAATAAATATATTTCTCAAGTGAAAAAAAAATAATCTAGATTTCTCAGTAATCTCACCTTATAAGCCTTGGCCACACATCTCGGTATCTTGGATAGCAATTCCACCGTTTCGTAACATCCCTTGGAGTTGACATCAACGACGGCCAACTTGCAGCCACGACGGGCCAGTTCCAAGCAGATCTCACGACCCAGGCCGCTGCCTCCTCCGGTCACCTGGGTTTAAATCACAGGTTACTCACATTATACTCAGTCAAATTAATTAGCTTAATTTGCAAACAATCAAATCGAGCTAATGTGACTTTGCATTGAACAAAAACCTCATTTACGGACAATTATGTGAGCAGCAGCGGCGACTTATGAATGGCATTACTCATACGCTCGGTGGGCCGACCCTCTGGGGCACAATTGAGTGACTTTTGACCGTAATTAAAGAGCACATGGTGACCTCAGCTCGCGTTTTGGAAGTGAGCGTGTGGGGGTGGTCGGGGGTATTGTAACCCGGAATGAGTTCAATTCAAAGTTTGGCACGTTAGTGAATAGCAAATAAAAAACAATAACAAATGCGCAATTGTGTTGTGGTTATAACATAGCTGAAGAATTTCAATATCATATGCAAATTAGCAGAGGCAACAGCAGTTAAGTTTTATCTACGCATCTGAGAGATCCCCGGCATGCTTCCCAGATACTTTGGCCCTCCGAAAGTTCCACTCTAGGTTGTTTACAAACGTCAGCGATCGAAAACAAAAGTGAAGTTCCTGAGGTTTGCATTTTTTGCGCTCTCTCTCTGTTCATCTTGCCATAAATATAGCGACACACAAAACCAGTTTACAAAGGGTCAGAGGCGTCAAAAAGGGGGTCTTTCGTGAGATGAAATAACTCAAATTCTCCAGCAGTGATGTCAATAGAACTTTATCAACGAAAGTCAATCTTCTAATTAAGTTGTTTCCCACAGCTGGGTTGAGAATTCAACTCCCCTTCCCAGATACACCTCTGTGCAACCACAAAAATACTCGTATCTGTATCTGAGAAAACGATATCTGAGGGAACAATCGAAAAAGCCGAGACTAAAACAAAAATCCAGCCATTATGATTCATTATTGCGCTACGTGAGACGCTTATGGCCGGCACACGCCCACGTTTAAAGCCTGAAAAGCATGCTAATGAGTTCCGAATTCGATCAGGTTCTTTACGATATATGGTGAGCATCGGAATCTTCTGCTCCGTATGCCTACACACTTGACCTTGTCCAGTGGCGTTGGCGCCCTCAACAATTGACTTTTCCATATTTCGACGCCCCAAGATGCATATGCGATCAATAGACCACGATATGCTTGCCACGAACATGAATTTCAGTTGGAGATTTCATTTGATTGCAGCGTTTTACAGGGAAATGATGTCACATTAGCTGACCGTGGCACCAAAGACGCGTTTCTGTGTGGACACAACTAAACAATTGGCCAACTAACCGAGCTGGTACCAAATGCATAAATATTTACTTTAATAACACAATCCTAAGCGATCGGCCGCACCCTATGGCAGTGACATCGAAAAAAAGAGAAGAAAAGACATTATAAAAAAAGAAAAGAAAAGCGGGAAAGGGGAAAAGGTGGGTGAGCCAAAGGTGGGCGTGGAAACCGGAGGCAGCCACTGGAAAAGGAAAGTGCGTGACGTTTCTGGCTGGCTGCATGGCCTCTAGATACAAGATCTCATAGATACATTTTTACACAGAAAAATATAAGATATTATGTTGAGATTATTACAGTATGACTAGGTCATTTTCAAAGATAGGAAGTAGTGGGATCTTAACCCAGTATCCAGCCTATTATGACAGTTTAATCATTTTTAATACCTTTGCGCCCTTACTTATTATTCATCTTCATTAAACATGATTCACTTTAGTAATATATATCAATTCGATAAGGTATCCAACTGCATTTTCCCAGTGTACCCATGTCAGATGTGTAGCCTTATTAATTGCTCATTTGCCAGACGTTCATTGCAGCCATTTGTTAGCCAAACGATGCATTCGAATCCATCTTACCAGTGCCACCTTGCCACTGACATCCTTCTCCTTTAGACCCAGGGCAAATAGGTAATCCAACAGGTGCTTGAGGAAGACGGCTAGCAAGACCAGTGGCAGGAAAAGCAGAAAGATGATGACTTTCAGATTGAAGATGGCCCGGGTGGTCTCATCATTGCGATGCGCCTGCGCAGCCGCCTGTGTAGCAGTGGGCGTGGCCGAGGCAGTGGGTCCAGTTACCGTTACTGAACCAGCCGGAACCGCCGTGGTAGTACGCGTTATTGTGGTTGTCGTTGCCGTTTCCACCATCACTCACAGTTTGTTGCACTCACAAAGATGGCTAATAAGTGGGATATATTTATATATATACAAATATATATATATATGTTTTTTGTTTAGCCCAGAAATTTTCGCGGTCAAAGCAAATATGGCACTCGCGGCGACTCCAAAAAAACAGCTGCAACGCGTCGAAGATGAGGGAGCAGACTAAAAACGCCAACAACCGACTGCGAATGCCAAACTACGTGTACAAGCTTTCGACTCTACAGCAGTATTTCCCCATTGAGTGAAGATCGCCGGGCGCTCGACGTTATCTGGTTTTCGTATCTACGACTGCAGATTTGAGTGGGCAGCACTAGCACCTTTGAGTGGAATTGCCACGAGTGGAGTTACTGGATTTCACCTGACGTCTTAGCCGGGCTTTCTGTTTTAATGGGCTTTTGGCTATATACTCGTATTGTTTTCCCCACGCGCACAGTGGGAACTGCGGCTGGAGATGATCTCCGATAAGCGAGAGGTCTCCCATGTTTGCTTTCCCTTTATCTGGTCCGGAAAGATGTGGAATCTAAACTGGTTAAAATGATAAACAACAAGCCTACTGTACAGCTCCTACTAAAAGTCTCAAGATCTCCCTTAAATCATAAGAATTATAATGAATCACAACCACCCACTGTGCGGCACTTTCGAATTGTCAACCTTTTGGCACCCGCCAATCACAGAAATACTCAAATATTTAATTGGGCTTCTAGGGTGAGTGCATAGCTGGAGAAAATTTCAGAGAGAAAAATTAGACATCCACCTGAAGTCTAATAAAAATGAGTTCAAAAAACTTTAAGTAAGTTTTTAAATCTCTTTCTGAAATTGGCTTATTTCATATTAGTCATTTAGTTTGAAAAAATTAAAGGAAAAGAAAAAAATAGTACCCTCTGTAGGGGAATTCACAAGCTCTGATTTCATAACATTATTTATTAGAACAGAATGACTAATATCATTTAAATAATATGATATAATAATTGTTACACTTTCTGCATCTATTAATCATTTAAATTTCATTTGACATGTGCTAACATGTTGACTGCTAATGCAGAAAACTTTGTTATTTGTTCTCTGTGCAATGGAGACTCTCGCCTTAATAGAGCTCAACTCAAGTCCAAAACCGCTTCGCTTATCACTCACCGAACGAGAAATGAGTGAGATGGCTGTTGAGCGCTTTTGTCGACCCATTTTCAAGGTGCCAAACTGGTAGGCCGCCCGATGTGGAAGTGGTAGCCAGGCGAAAAAGGAAAGGCCCCAAATGGAAGTTGATACATCCGCTTTGGCTGGATTTTAGCCACCGGTGGCTTCCATTGTATTACAATTAAAGCATATTAAATGCCCTGTCCTAGGTCAATGAACAGCGATCGGTGGGCTAGAGTAAACATTTAGCTGCAGCATGTGGCAAAAGCTAAAGTCGCCTGCAGCTGCGGCACAGTGTCAACATCTGGGGTTTTTTTATATTTTTTGCTATCTTCTTATTTTTTTTTTTGCATCTCCGCACATGTGCAACATTGGCGAACGCATGCGCCCAGCTTGAGGTTGTTTTTTTAAGCATAGAACTAAAACCAAAGACGTGCAGATACGGGTATAAATAAAATATGTAAATGCAGCCCAGCGATTTTGACATATTAGCAGACTAGCTGAGACGGATCCCGAGAGCATTGACCGCACACAAGCCACACATGTCACATAGCATGCGCTCTGCAGTTGAAGTACAGTAGGATCTGGGCATTGGCGTACAGCACGGGGATTTGCTTGCAAAACATGACAACTCTTTAATCAGTTCAATATTCACTTTTTTGTACAGAATGTTGGCAATTCATTTGTTGCTTTACACATAAGTTACTTAGTTTAGTTAACAGTATTATAATATCAAAAATATAAAAATGTTTTTTTTTGGCTCTCAAACATGCCAAACTCGTATAAGAATATCACTGTTAAACGCCTAACCAATAATTACTTAAGAGACTTATACCTATACCTCACAGATGAAACACATTTTAAAAGTGTTTGGCGGTTACTTTACCACGTGTAAAGCTATAAAAATTGGCATCCCAAAGAAAGTCATGGCAGCTCTTCGGCACGTTCTGAAAGGATAAGGTTAGTACGATGCCTATTCATGGTCTACGGCTTCATTTTCTTACTTTTGAAGCTCAACAATTTGTTGGCATAGCGACGCAGATTCTCTTGGTTGGGATTTCGTAGCACTCCAGTTGCCGCCTCCTTGATCATGCCATCAATGCCCTGCAGTAACCATTCCTTTTTCGGACAGGTAATGGTCAACCGGTAATCGCCATCCTGTGCCCGTGAAACGTTCCAATCGACGCCCTGCTCGTTCTCATGACTGTCGTTGCTCTCCGTCTCCTCCTTCTTTATATCATTTTTATAGGACGTTGTGCGTCGGCGCATTTTCGGTGGCTTTACATCCGGCTCATCTTCTTCGGTTGCGTCCGCCATGGACTTGCGCTTCTTACCATTTATTTGGCGTTCGTCTTGGTTACGATCTCGTTTTGGGCACGTACAGATTTTGACTTCCATAACCTGCTGTCCCACGATATCACCACTGCAAAATGATAAAAAATTAGAAAAAATATTCTTTGTCTCAAAAACCTGCTTTAATCTTACCGTGCGTTCTCCAGGCAAAATACTAAGGAGGTTTCTTTTCGGCCAATACACGAGTTCTGGCAGACGAACTTAAAGGCCAGGGTCTGTCGCACATGGCCAGCACTTCGGTTGCCTGATCGGCACATATTCAGTGGGATCACCACGGAATAACGCTCCGAGATGCCCTTCCCCTGAGCAGTACCGCAGTACACACTGTTGGGATTTTCGCTGCGCAGCAAACTCTCACGCATTTTTGCGTTTTGGCCGGTTACTGTATGTCAAAACAAATAAAAGTTAAAGGGTGCTTCCAGATTTTTGAATTTCATCCACTTACATGGCTCTACGCTTAGATGATTCTGGCACCGCAACACCGGACCACTAACATCCTTGCTGAAGCACAGAAATACGCGCAAATTGAGCGGCTGAATGGGCAGCTTTGCCTTAAACTGAACGTCCACGTTAAAAGTCTTGTTCATCCGGATGTAGAGCTTGTTCAAAGGTACCGAAAACATCCAGTGCGATTTGGGTGGCTCATCCAGAACCATGCTAAAGCCATAGCCTCCGATGTTGTGATTCTCCAACTTGGGCAGCGTGTTTACCAGGTTCGGAAGTTCCTGCAGCATCATCTCATGCAAGACAGATTGCTAAAATTACAAATAAGGTATTATTTTTTTATAGTAAATGAAACTGAAACCATTTAAAAGTCCAGACTTTGCGCCCATAGAGCTGATAGAACTTCATGCTGTAGCTTTTTCAAATAAATAATGAACTGTATATTTGTTTCTTTGCTACTCTTCACAAGTGCTTGCAAATTTCACCAGCGGATTGTGACACCGAGCAGGAGAGTTCCTTGCTAATCGGCTAGATAAGAGTGTTGCCTTCAGTTCTCTTACTAAAACTGAACCTCTTAGAGGTTTTGACGTCATGTTGCTCTTGTGAAATTGCAGGCGGTTGCTGAGTCATTCGGGGAATGTCGCTCGGCGCTTGCCGTTGCCGCTTTTTTATATGTCCAACGCAACGCATGCTCAGTTGGTTTTTGAACGGCTAATGAAGTACAAGCAACGCGATGTGTCCAGATATTGTCGACCAACATGACGGGTCCTTTGGATTTAGATGGCATCAGCAAGATAGTTGGAAAACAATTAGGCAGTCATTAATGCGTACTCTAGGGAAAGTGCAGCCACAGTCCATTTCCATTGTTCTAGAAAAATGAACCTGACCAGCGATTACGCTCATAGGCGTATGGTGAAATTCCTGACGATCACACTGATAGTCTTTATGACCGGGTTTGGACTTCTGGCCAATCGCTATCGTCATGGAAGACGCGAAAGGTTCCGTTTCTCAAAGGCATATCTGGCCTACGCCATGCTATGGACCATTACATTTAGCTTGGTTTACGGAAGGCAGATCTATAAGGAATACCTCCAAGGTCAAATTAACCTGAAGGATGCCATCACTCTGTACAGCTATATGAATATTACCGTGGCTGTTATTAACTTTGTGACGCAGATGATGCTGAGTAACCATGTGGCTAAGATGATGAGTCGAGTGCCCTTCTTTGATACCCTGAAGACACTCCGTCTGGACAGCAAGTCACTGTACAAGTCCGTATCCGTGGCCTTTGTCAAGACTCTTTTTTTTCCTCTGACTCTCGAGGTGGCTTTTATACTTCAGCAAAGGCGACAGCATCCCGAGATGAGTATGATCTGGACCTTTTACAGACTGTTTCCCTTGGTTATTTCGAATCTTTTAAACAATTGTTACTACGGCGCTATGGTGGTGGTGAAGGAGATGCTTAATGCAGTAAATGCCAGCTTGGAATCACAATTACATGAGGTAAATCTGCTGCAGAGAAAGGATCAGCTAAAGCTGTACAGTAAATACTATCGGATGCAGCGATTTTGCTTTTTGGCAGATAAACTGGATAAGCTGGCGCATAGCTATAGATTGATATATGTGCATTCCGGAAAATATCTTACTCCAATGGCCTTGTCCATGATCCTGTCTCTCGTCTGCCACCTGCTCGGTATCACAGTGGGTTTCTACAGTCTGTACTATGCCATAGCGGACACCTTTATCATGGGCAAGCCTTACGATGGCCTGGGATCACTGATCAACCTGGTGTTCCTGACCATTTCGGTGGCGGAGATCACGCTACTGTCGCACTTGTGCAACCATCTGCTGATCGCCACTCGGAAATCTGCGATTATTCTCCAGGAGATGAATCTCCGGCATGCAGACTGTCGCTACCGCCAAGCAGTCCATGACTTCACTATGCTAGTCACTGTGACCAAGTTCCAGATTAAGCCTTTGGGCTTGTATGAACTGGACATGCAGCTGATCAGCAATGTGTTCACTGCGGTATCTAGTTTTCTGTTGATCCTGGTCCAGGCTGATTTGACGCAACGTTTTAAGATGTACTAATTGTTACCCACCTGGCTGAACTGCATCAGATTATCCGACTGTGAGAAGGATATAAATAAAAAATTAGTAAGTCATCGCTTGTAAAAGAAGATTTACTCACGGTCAATCCCTGCAGGTAGGCCATGGGTTCAGTGTTCCTGGAAGGATGAGAACAATAGTGAGTAAGTCTAAAGACCACCTGTAACCTGGTACCCACGTTTCCGCTGCCGATACCGCCACCGCCACAGCCTGTTCAATATCAGCTGGGGCATCCTCAGCTGCAGAATCAGCCGATCCCAAAGAGGCTTCATTGGCCACTTGGATATCATCCTCGGAATCTGTGCTACAGTTTTAATTAAAATAAAAATTATTACCGGTTGCGCATTGGCCAGATGAACAAACGCAAACAAGTTGTCAGCGTGAATGATGCAAGTACAAGCGTGTTGCTTCATGCATAGTCCATATGTTCTTCTGCCTATTTACATTCTGGGTTTACCTAATTTTATGCCACGACATGGGCTGTGATATATACATTCCTTGTTTCTATATCCGATCAACTGATCGCACAGGGAATTACTGCTAAGTAATATTAATTTGCTAAAATTTATAAAAATGTATGGCCACTGAACAAATGGATTTAGCCATTCGCCGCGAAAGAAAAACAATCTCTCCTGCCGATATTCATCGTATCTGGCGCTTGATTTTAAATTTTCTCACCCCTGTTGGTAAATGTTGTTAATGTCGGTTGTGTTAATATAGTTATTATTATTGGCCAGGTTTCCAGATATGTTGGCTAACAGCACGTTGTTGTTTAATTGCGCTCCTGCTGATGCTTGAACCACATGGGTATAACAGTGGGGACACCCAGTGGCCACAAAGCGTCCTGCGTTGTTAGAGGATCTGACCGGAGGTATTGCAAACAAATCATTACTCGAATCCCACAGGTCCAAGTAGTCTTCTGAACCTCCCAAAACAAATGGGTGACTATTGGTACGCGAAACAATCGATGTGTTTCTGCAAAACAAAATTTTTTACCTGTAGATTGTGTAATTGCTGAGATAGTTACTCTTCTTACTGGTTAATATTCATGCTGAACGATGATGATCTGCGAAGAGGCATGACTGCAGCGGATTTAATAAACTTTATTTTATCAGTTAAATATTTTGCTCAACAGAAACTTTGCGTGGACCAGGACTGCCAACTATCCGGAAATTGGATATGAATATGGCCGGTAGAAAGACCGGCAGCGGTTACAAGTCTGTCGATAACATATCGATTACGTCTGATGCCCCATAGAAACAGTGCTGCCCATAGCGCGCGAGATTCAAGTATCATATTTGAAATTTTATTAATATTTTAAGACCTATTTAGTTGCTTTGAAAGTGGCATAATAAATTCAAATATTTTCAATGCACATCCTTTTAAATGATTATTCAATTTTCCATAGTGTCGGCTCCTAAAATGAAAAATATCTTTCGTTTTTTATAACGCGGAAAACTTATTTAAATTAAAAGAAACGATTTAAATAAATCTTATGTAGCTATGGCGTACACATATATTTACAGTTCTAAAAATGTACATAAAAGCGCTACTGGCACAAAAGTCTTCTACTAATATTTCTCAGACGTCACATCGCTGGGTGACTCATTTGAACGATTCTGGGCCTCCGTCACGGTTGTAAGATCCGAACTCGAGGATTCTCTTGAATGCCTGGGGATAAATGGAAACAACACAATAATGATAAGTATACAGTGTAGATGGGAGTGATTTAAAATGAATTTAAAAAATTACAAAAATTTAAATATATTCTGTTTATATACAATAAACCAAATTTAAGTGCTTTCAATTACCTGTAAAACACATAGTGCTGCAGCATGAAGAAAATGTCGAAGAGCACTGAAAACAGACCCAACCCAAATTTGGTGGGATCACCGAATATGGACACCCAGTCATCTGAAAATTAAACTCCAGCTTAGTATTAGATCTAAGAATGATCGACTAAATCTTACCGTAATTATGGGCATTCAGTATCATCTGGAGCATACTCAAAGTTCCGCCGGTAAAGTCCAACAGGATGTTGCCGATGCTCCAGCCGGAAGTGCTCTTCCGGCGATAATTCATCAGAGCCTGCGGTACGTACTTAATGATGGTGATGGTCAGCTTTACGTAGCTGCAGTAGTACAGAAAGTCCAGCCAATGGATGACGGATCCTCCGGCCAATCCTGCCGAAACGATCACAACCACAGCGAAGATTCCCAGGATTCCATAGGCTATGAACGAGACTCTTTGCTGGGCTCTCTGCATGAAATAAAACGAAAATAATGTATTAATAAAATCTTATCTCACGTCCCATCAAAAATATCCAATGTGATTCATTCTGATTGCTATTTTTGATTAACGCCAATTAGAGTTTTATTACTTGATGGCAGTTCAATTCGACAATAGTTGTCACTTTAATGATGAGCTTGTTTAAAGGTAGTAAATAGCAATTTTCGAAATATATTACCTGATAGAAAAAGCACTGCAGGATCGTTATGATGGTGGCAAACATGGCATGTAGGGAGAACACCACATCGTTGAGCATTACAGGATTCACGCCCAGAGGATATCGCAGCTCGTACTCATTCTGCAGATCCTCGATGAAGTAGAGACCGCAGTTGAACATGCTGTACAGGGTGAAGCCAACGATGTTCAGGGCCAGGAAGTCAAAGTTCAGACCCTCCACGGACTTCCGGCGATAATTAATCCAAATCTGCGGGTAGAAAGACACTGACCAGGCCACAAAGTACACCCATCCAAAGACAATGGAAGTGTAAATCAAGGCTCTGGATTTTGCCACAGTCACCCGAACGAAAACATCTTTAACGCTGGAAATTAAGATATATTTTTATGAATTATTTTTATAAATATTCAAATAACATCATGGAATTCTAAGAAACTACTCACATTTCCTTGTTTGCATCATCGCTATCGGCGACCACTTTGACATAGCCGGCGTTCAGGCCTGTTATCACCACTGATTGGTTCTGCGTACTCCCAGCTGGATACAGGAATGACGCGGGATCCAGGCTCAAATGATCTTCGGAGTCTGTTCCCAACGTTACTTGGACGTCGTTTGTTAATAATTCCCTATAATCACATGTTCAATAACTTAATATCACTGACGGTTTCCTGGCAATTGCAACTCACTTGGCGAATATCACAAAAGTTTCATTTGTATTCAGGAGAACGGTGATGTCATGGGAATCGACGGTGAGTAGACTGGTTTGGGCATTTCCCAGGGCAACTGTGGATAGGAAAAACCCCCCTTATTGTCTAACACCGTTTCTGGATATGTAGAGGATGGAATCTCACCTGTAGCCAAGAGCCAGAAAGCTATGAGGAATGTGCTCACATGACGATCCATTCTGGTTTCGTTTGGCTTCTTATTCAGGCGTGAATTTCCAGACCAGCTGGCACCTTCTTCAATAGAAGCCCTATATGGTATTGATTAAAAATCTGAATTACTTCAATTGACGACAATCAGGGGCATCAATTGCAAGGAGTCTGAAGTGCAACAACATCTAGTTAATATTGCATATTTGCATTTAGTGGCCCAGTTATTGACTCCTGTTAAGTTATTTCTATATACACATTTCAAGAACTTTCAGCACGTTCATGTACCTATATCGATCTCAATCTACGCATGTTCACCCCTCTAGAATTTGTTGTTGTGTTGAGATAAAATTGCTGCGTGAGTCGGCAACCTTCAACAAATGTCGCTCAATGTTACAACTTTGCAATTAGAGCAAACTTTTGCACGACACACGATTCCACACGAGAACCCACTTTATATACGGGCCACAACAGCAGGAAACACTATACACGGCTTTGTCGGCCAGGTAGTAAAAACGAAAGATTCCAGACTATTTATATTGCGAGAGGTTTATAATGGGGAGTACCGTGACAGGGCTGATTGTGAAGAAGTGTAAATACCGCGTGAGAACCCGGGCTTATCTCAATCAATGGAGCTGATAGTGTCAATCGGTTTTATTCGAATTATTGCGGCAGTATGCCACAAGCTTACAGATAATCAATAGATTGGGCAATGCACTGCGATCGGACCTGATAACCTGGGGATATTGTAATAGCAAGTCACGATCCCGCCGGTGGACTTGGTGCCTCATAAATCAGTCATTGCACAGGAACTTTTGATGTCTTTTTCGGTCTAATAAGTATTTTCTATTTCAAAGTAATATTCAAAGTAATATACTAAACGTTCATAGGAAAAGGATAAATATAGATATATAGATATAGGTATAAATAAGGATACTACATATATATATATTACTTAAAATTTAATTTGAAATAAAGGAATACTACTTTAACTGCTTTAAAATGTTTATAACTTTCATTACGCAGTGTTTAGAAATCACATAAGATTTTATTATAACACCGATAACAAATATTGTTAAGAAATCGTACTACATATAAATTAATAGTTAGACACTCTCTTTTTAATTATTTACAAAAAGCATATTTTATTTATTAACAAAAAGCATCTGTTCAAACCATTTATTTAAGAAACAGACATTCATTCATAATTCCACGCACGAGATACAAATGTTTTGCGTCTGTTTTAGCCGGATTAGAACTTTCACTGGCGTCTGGGAAAGCAGTGCAGAGATTTCTTGAACTAACACCGAAACACCTTTTTTCCACCCGATTTTGTTAAAATAAAGATAAAAAAGCTTAGAACAAGCTGTTTGCTAAGTGATATACATCAGATCACATCACTCACGTTAAAATTAAAGTTAAACAATGTGCTTAACTGACGATTAAACGAGGCAATAACGACAAGTGAGTTTGGTACCGATGGCGACTCTCCAGCAACTGAGTGCCCGATCCACTGGAGCCGTTTAAATATTGGAGCGGTGGGGTCGACGCCGACGTCGGCAGCGACGAACCAACAGCAACAACAAATGGATCGAGAGCGGATCGCCGATGATATTGTTTTATTATATTTTACTTTTTGCATTTGGAGAACCCATCAGTTGAAAAGGTAGGCACTTATCTTGGGATCAAACCAAATATTTTGACAGCACGTTTCAGGTTTCCAAAATAAACGACTTTGTTTTGAGCTATAATTTGGGCAAAACCATGTAAAAGTTTGGATTTGTGGTATATAGATATAAATTCTAACATCATCTAACTGTTCAGCTTTAGGATTATTCGTTTTTCAAAAAATATATATTTTTGTAGCATTTAATTGATAAGCAATTTGGGGATTTCTGCCATTAATTTTAAGCAACAGCTTTTGTTTTTCCCAGAAGTGAAGATAATGCGACATTTTGATTACAGTTTATAATTCAAATTTTAAAATGCAGCACATTAATCTGTTTTCCTATACTTTTTAAATCGTACTTGTTTCAAATTTTCGGAAACCAAGCGCATATAAGTACTTAAACAAAAACTTAAAACTTCTTATCAATAGAAAAAGCAGTTTGAGGGACCTGCAGAAAGAGGAGCCGTAAAGTTTTATTAGCATTCTTATCGAATACGACGACTCTGAATTATCAATGTTGAGAGAAAAAGTATACGAACGTTCCATCGGCGACTAAAAATAATAATAAAGAAAGAAAAACACACACTAGATTCTATTGGATGATTCGGTTTTTTGCTGATGCAGAATCAACCACGATCCACTTGCGCCCAATGCATAATTTTGCAAGCCAATCGAAAACTTGGCATGTAACTCAGAAATATATGCCAAGCCAAGCCAAGTCAAGCAAAACTTGGCCACCAACTGGCTGGGCATGGTTTACACTTCGAGGGCTGGAATTCAAAAACATCCGGGGAGAATTGGACTACAATTGAACAACCTTTAGGGGTTTACGTTGCACGTCGATAGAGATTGCACTGGACCAGAAAGATAATCAGTAAACCAGTTTAATTTGCACATTTTACAAAGAAACAGCAAGCTCAAATCACATTAAAGGGTGGTATAAATCGAACGTAACAAATTTCTACGTTAATTCAAGGCACTCCAACTTGGCTCCCTCCTCGTTTAGTCTTGTCTAAGGCACTGATTTCGCGATGAGTCGATGGTTAAATAAGTTAAAGGTCGGATTGCAGGACACTATAAAAACTATATAGCTGTTGGCGAGTATCTGTTCAGTTTCAGTCGTCACCTGGTCACTGGTTCTGGTTCTGGCCGGCGCGTCGGTTCTTCTCGAGTATCAAAGCACGACTGAAATGTGTAAGAGAGAGTAGTACCTTTTTAGAGCGATGAATACATTCAAGCGGTCGCTCACTCACCGATAGCGCTCGTAGAAACCGACTATGGTGCCCAGTTCCTGTTTGAATAGCCGCACCAACATACTGTCGAAGCCCTCCAGCTCCGGTAGGCTGAACATGTTGAACTGCAGGAGGTGATCCTTGGACGAGTCTGCCTCAGAGTAGACTGCCAGCCATTTAGGGATTTCCTCGAGCAGGTAGGGATTCGCCGGAACCAGAGCGTTGTGAGTGTGGGTGGGTGGAGCATAGAGCGATGCCTCCGGTCGAATCGCTTTCGGCGGCTCCGCTGAAGTTGTATACACGTAGTATGATGTTAAGCACGGATGCTGACGCTGGCATTGCCCCGTGTATTGGTTTTCGTAGTAGGTTCCGTGCATTTTGGACACCACCCGCCTCCAGCCCACCGGCAGGCCCTCCCGTTCTAGGGGGTGATTCCAATGAGTTGTATGAGCGTTGTGATCGATGTAGTACTTCCTTCCGTGCAACGTATACTGTGTGGCCCAACCGGGCGGAAGAGGTAGTTCCTCGGGCTCCGTTAACGACTGCTGTGATGGTACCTTTTGCAGTGATCCATTGACACTGCCACCAGCTCCGCCAACTGCACTGGGTGGAGTTCGGGGTGGTGCGTACAGAGATTGCACTGAGGTAGAAGTGCCACGAACACTGCCAGAGCTACCACCACGTCCACTGCCACTCAGAGATCCTCCACCGCTACCAGATGGCACCGTCAAGTGACCCTGATGGTGATGCTGTGGAACCACGGCCAGCGTGGCCGACGATGCCGTCGTGTTGCTGTAAATGGGCGACTCCGATCGCTGCGACTGAGTGGCACGCATCGAGGAGACACGGTACGGATTTTCATAAATCGGATAGGAGTCACTGGAGTAGCTGCCGCCAAGGTGAGCTGCCAGTTGCTGGTGCTGCAGCTGCTGCTGTTGTTGTTGCATAGGGGACCTGTTGAAAAAAGAAAAACAGTTGAAAAAACACTCAATTTAATGTATTGTTAGCAATACCTGCTTAAATTCCTCTTACAGACCTTCAAGGAAAAATATATATGTATTCTTATTATATTCTTATTGTATATATTCTTATTAGATTGTTTAAATATATAGAAAGATTTCAATCAATTTAAACCATAATCTTCAATGACTACACTTTTTTAAGTGACTGGAAATTTAAATGTACTGTGTCAATGTGTTCTCTAATGATAAGAATTTTAATTACAAAATCTTATTTTAATTAGGTACTAAAGTTAGTGAACTTAGACTCCTATTGTGAGTGGAAGAATTCAAAAATAGTCGAATACTAATTAGTTAATAAGCTAAACCAATTAACAATTGAAAACTGATAGAGTAGAATTTAATGATGGCTTGAAATCTACGTTACCTGGAGGGCTGGTACCCGGAAGGCTGTCGCTCCCTGATGGACATGGCAGACTGGTCGAATCGCAGCGTCGAGCCGAAGGGCGTGGAGGAGTGGCTGGAGGCATGGCTAGAAGCGTGATGCATTTGGGGAAGCTGCTGTTGTTGAGGTGGTGGGACGGCGTAGTGGGCGGGCGAATGTGGCCGTTGGGGCAGTTGCAGCATATTGGCATAGGAAGCACTGAGCAGTCCTTGATCCGCATCGTAGCTTGATCCGGCCATATGGGGATGATGCTGCCTCTGGGTAGTGGAGTAGCTACGCTGGAATCCACCAGCTCCTGGAGCAGGCGATGAACTAGTATGCAGCAGAGGCGACGACTGCTGGCGGCGCATTCGCTCGATTTGTTCAATGTTTACGTAGTTGCTACTGCTCTGGCTCAGTTGATTGCTGCTAGCACGAAATTGGTGCGGCGGCAGTGGCGGATGGGTAAGCACATGAGGATGGGTGGGATGGGGCAGGGAGTGGGGATGCGTATGCGGTTGCAGAGGCAATTGACTCTGGGCCCGCCTGGCATGGTAGTAATCTGGCTGGGAGTCCGTACAGGAGTAGGTATTCCGACTGGTGCTCGAACTTCGCGGATGGAACTCACAGCTGGGCGAAGTGCTGGCACAACGCTGCAACGACTTCTTCTTGGCACGCTGGTCAGTGGTCCACACATTAATCACCGGAATTTCCGGTGGAGTGTCCTTCTTCATGTACTTCCCCACCACGCCCTCCTTATGCGACTGCGACTGGGACTTCTTGCTCCGGCGCGAGAGCATCGTCGGTTTTCGGTTGCACAGCAGAATCGTTAGATAGTTCATGCAGACTCTGTTTGCCTCGGATTTCGGTTCGCTGTCTTTGTTTAGTCCATTTTCGAGCTAATTAAATGCTATGTGCCCAACTTTTTTTGTTTTTCAGCTGGTGGGCAGTGTGGCCAACCATCGTGATTTGTCCTCTACGCACACATTAGGGACATTCTTGTGAGACAATATATTATGTGCATTTATAGAATTTTAAATTATTAAGAAAGGAATTATCTGATATATAGACTCTAGATATGTTGTAATATTTTTAAAATTCATATATTCCCATACTATCATTTAAGCTCAAAATTAATCGTTATTGCCGGTCTTGGCTATCGATAGTGATATCGATGTCTGACAGCTCGACACTCCAAGCTGTTTATTTGGTCTCCAAAAAGATAAATCATAGATTTTAAGAAAAATTATTGATGGAAGATGGAGGTTAAGGAGTTGGTAGTGATTGTTAAATGGAGCGGCAAAGAGTACAAGGTGGACCTCACTGACCAGGACACAGTGGAGGTGCTGCGTCACGAAATCTTCCGCAAGACACAAGTTCGTCCGGAACGGCAAAAGCTGCTCAACTTAAAATACAAAGGCAAGTGAATCTTACATATGTATATTCGAGGATTCCCTATAACCTAACATCCAATGACTTGCAGGAAAGACAGCCGCCGACAATGTAAAGATCAGCACTTTAGAACTAAAGCCCAATTTTAAACTTATGATGGTTGGCTCCACAGAGGCAGACATTGAGGATGCCTGCAGCTTGCCTGATGACATTGGCGAGGTGGTTGACGATTTTGATGACGCAGAGGAACGCGAAGAATCTGTTGAACACTCTGCAGTTTACTTGGCAAAGGTTCAACGTCGTGTGCGGGACTATAAAATAAAAGAGCTTTCGCCGCCGCGAGAAGGTAAGAAGCTACTTGTCCTGGACATAGACTACACTTTGTTTGATCACCGATCGCCTGCTGAAACGGGCACCGAGCTAATGCGTCCGTATCTGCACGAGTTCCTGACCTCCGCCTACGAGGACTATGACATCGTCATTTGGTCTGCCACTAGCATGCGCTGGATCGAGGAAAAAATGCGCTTGCTAGGTGTAGCCAGCAACGAGAACTACAAGGTGATGTTTTACCTAGATTCAACTGCAATGATCTCCGTTCATGTGCCAGAACGAGGAGTGGTGGATGTAAAGCCGCTCGGCGTGATTTGGGCTCTATACAAACAGTACAGCTCCAGCAACACCATCATGTTTGATGATATCCGCCGCAACTTTCTGATGAATCCCAAGTCTGGTCTCAAAATCCGTCCGTTCCGCCAGGCCCATCTCAACCGAAGTACGGACACTGAGCTACTAAAGTTGTCCGACTACTTGCGCAAGATTGCCCACCACTGCCCTGATTTCAACTCTTTGAACCATCGCAAATGGGAGCATTACCATCCCAAGAAGAACTCCTGAACTCTCCCTCGATTTCACTTGTTTGTAAGATCCATGTAGGTTTATGTTTATTAAATTAAATTAAGATGCATTTTGTACGCATTGCGTCCCAGCCGAAAATTACAGTGTATATCCGCCCTGGTCCGCCCAATGGACTCGTCTCGCCTCCAGGTATTCCTCGTGCAGACGTCGACGCTCGTCTTCAAGTTTAGCGAGTCGGCGATATCGCTGCAGCACCATGCCGCAGCCAAAGAGCAAGGCCACCTGACAGATCAGCCAGAAGATAAACAGTGCAATCAGCAGGCTCTGGTTGATGCACACATTATCCAGATGTAGCTGGTCGTCGATACCGGCTATCAGCAGCACTCCTCGCTCGCCGTACATGTAGCTATTGGCGTTACTCTTATCCGGCCCATGCACCCGTATGTTGTAGTTCAGAGGCAGTTCCTCTTGCGCAATAGAATAGTTTCCTTTGCCTTGTTCTGGGGCTACATCCACAACGGTGGATATGTACACGGGGTTCTGCACTCGCAGATCTTCTGGTCTTCGCTCTGGTGGCACCGCCTGCCTCCTTCTTCTCTGCCAGGAAGCGCTTACACAGTTGCTGGGGGAGCAGCGCTCTACACAGAAGCGAATCTTCACATCGAAGCTTACGTTGGCGGTTCCGGAGAACTTGAAGGCATGAAAGCGAGCACGCAACATGCTTTTGGTATTCGAGTGAACCCTTTCCAAAGCGGGAAACACGGTGGCATCGGTTGGACATCCTCGCTCGTCGATCAGCAGCACATAGTTCTCATTGTCTGCAGTCTTGGCCACCAGTGAGGTTGCACGAAAGTCCGGTAATGGTGCCAACTGCAACTCCATGTGCTTCGCTATCTGGCTCGGGCTGTACTCTGCCACAATCTGGAGTTCCAGGTTCTGGCCAATCTGTACGTCGTTGGTCTCGTGCTGGTGTGACAAATCTACAATCTGGAGCGAGATGCTGGGTTGCGGATGGGGACCAGTGCTGCTGTTGTAATGCACAACGCCCTCGTGAGGAAACATGCTGCGGGGATTGCTTGAAATTACCTTTAAGGGATTGGAATGAGATATAACTCACTGTTCGGCATACTCCAATGAGGACTCCAGGGCAATGGCGCTAGGCACAAGCTCCGAGGCATCCGCGCTGCTATCTCGCACTGCAACGCCCAACGAGGTGGTGGCGTTGCTTTGAATGCATCCCACCTTAATGAGCCTATCGCCCTGGGTCTGCACGTTCGGGTTATTCTGGATGACCACCAGGGCAGAGATAAAGGTTCTGGAGAAAGGAAGAAGTTTAATTGCATTTTCAAAAACGGCATATTAATATTTTCCGAAAATAAGTCTCACCTTTGGTACGCCTGCGTCATTTCATAGGCGCGGAGGATGCCACAGCGATTCTCCTTGACCTCGCTGCCGATCTGAAGTGTTAATAGGACACTTCCGTTTCCAGATCCTCGAGCCAGACAGTCTTTGGAGTGCATGCTAGCATAGATTTTACCGGCGAACCAGTCCTTTGGATTGTACTTGATGGACATCTCATCGCGAGTACAAAACACTCTGACTGTAAGTTATAAAACCAGTTCAAGTTTTTGAAACCATAACAAACTAGGAGATCTTACCATCCAGGCACTTGACCCTCCTCATATACACCGAGTTGTCACGGAGCTTTAAGCTTCGAGGACCCAGTGACACAATATCCTCGGAGTGGAGGAGACACTCGGATAGGGTAACCTGGTTGACATAGTAGAAGGAGACACCCTGGCAGTAGAACTTAGCCTCGTGCGAGCACAGCGCCTGACACTGGAAATTTGGAGGTAGAAGTCATCAATCACTCAACCGACCCCCATCGATTTCGATTACAATCATAATGCGCGACAGGCGAAGCGCGGCGGACACACCTCTTTCTGGGAGAGGCCCAAATACCTGGCCTCCGCGTAGATGAAGCTGCTGTTGGCATACAGCTCATAGGAACAGTTGTCACTTTCGACAGCCCGCTCGTGGCACTGGTTCTCCATGTACTCCTCATCGTACGGAGCAGCCCGAAAAGCGTCCGGTTGGATGGTCTTGTCCCTATCGCTCAGCATGCACCTGCCCAGGCGGGGGGAGGGACTCTGGCCAGGACCTACCTCGCCACGGAACCTATGGGTGAATGGAAAGGAAAAGTTGGTCAAACGGTTTTAGGTCATATATTACACGGTAGGAGATTTATTACCGCACTCACTGGAAGTGATGGGAACTATGCAGGCATTTAACTTTCTAAGAGAGGTAAATTTAAAATTTAAGGATTATTTTTAAAAAATACCATCTTTCATAAATGAGTTAGAAAATTGCGTCAAGAAACAGCAGTCATTTCAGACCTCAAGTCTGTTACTTGGAAAATTCCTTTTATCGCTATGACTTGCTTAACTATGTTCTGACTCATATTTTATTCTAATTTTGAATATTAAAAAAGGTGAGCACTTTTTTACTTTCATTTAAAAAGAAAAAGGTTAAAAAAAACCTAACCTATCCCATCACCTCCCGCGAGTGATGTCATAATCCGGAGAAAAGCCTCGGCCGTGCATTAAAAATGCACAACAAAAGCAATTAATTTGTCCGGTAACAAACAACATCGACAACAACAACAATAACAAACAAGCAACCACCAAACAGTCAATTACCGCTCACGATTGTTCCTATACGAGGGGGCAAAGGAGGCGGAGAGGCATTTGAACTGCGTTTCAAAGAAGCAACGTTCGGCGCACTCACGCCGCGTGACCAGCGTCGAAATGGTCTTCTTGCTCTGGAAGACCAGCGTGCTGCCGGGGATTTTGGTCAGCGCCCATAGACGCCCACGGCACGCATCGGGAACTGCAAGGTCGGAATAGATTAAAGGCGTATCAAGGTCGGGTTAGCCCCCATCCGGCGATTACTCACCTCGTAGGCAGGTCTTTTCGTAGAACACGGCCTCGCCGTCGGCCACCAAAGGCAGTTCACCCGAAATGGCCAGATAGCGTGAGGTTCTCTCAAAGTACGAGTAACCATGACACTCATCCGTGTCCAACAAATGCACATAGGCGATGCAGTCGGGATCTTCGTTACAGATCCTCCAACAAACCTGGCTAACGGGTAAATCGTGTTCCCGATCGCGATCCTTAAAGTTGCTAGCCATTTCTGGGCCGTAGATCAAGTTGCCCTCATTCAAATACTCCAATGGCGGACGGAAGCCGACGATCTTCTGCAATTGCAACTGGTGCAGCGGACACTTGAGCAGCAGGGCAACTGGGGGAGGCAGATTGGAATAGAATGCCATGAATGTATGTTGTCAGATATGGGATGCGCATGACTGGGAACCAAAACAGTCATAATAGGGATCGCATATTGATTTCCATTCCGGAGGGGTTTGTCTAGTAACTAAGCTTGTGATCATCAATTAATATGATATTTTTATGCATAAGTAAGCAATGAGAAAATCAATCAAGCATCTGCTAAATCTCAACTAAAGCTAAAGGGTTGGGAAATGCCTGAGATTACTATGAGGGAATTACTTACGGCTAATCTTTAACTTTTTTATTATAATTTTAAATAGAGAAAACATTTTTTCTCTATACAAATATATATAAAAATATTTTTCTTTTTTCATGCTTTGTTTCTTTTCATTAAATTCAAAATAAATTTTATATATTTAGATAGGCAATTAAAAATCTAGTAAATTCTTCTCAAACTTGAATTTCGTCACTTTTGCCATGGACTTCCTTGTGCAGGTAATTTTCACATTAAAAACCTAATGAAAACTCGTTCTCACGGTGTTTGGAAATAAATCTATATAATAACAGCTGACATGCACTGCCAGCAAAACAAACACTCTCAGCGACTTGTAAATTGATCTAAGCAGTTTTGGTTTTGCTTTTGCCATTTTACTATTGAATGCAAATTGCAAGTGCATCTTCAGTACTCTCGTAAAAACGCTCTCCAAATTGGCATCATCGGGTAAGCGGCTAAAAATACTGAATGAAGTGCGGAATGGCGTTTTGCGGGGATTTTAGTCAATAGGCAAGGTCAGTTGAAGAGAACTCACCGCAAGCAGTCTGCTGGAGAATTAGTAAAATCGCTGAAATCGCTAATTTGCATAGCCAGGGGGCGGTTATAAGTGATTGGAGGTGCATTGTTTTCTTTTTCTTTTATATATGTTAGATGCGTTTTTGCGGTTGCAATTGCGAATTGTTTGGCATGCTCGTGCAATAAATTGTAATTGATTTTGGGCCAGAAAACACGGGTCAACCTCGTAGACGCATTACACGAACACGAAACAGGGCTATTTATTCATTGGCTTTTTGCCTGTGCTGTTTGCTGGTTATGTTTGGCACAGTTTAACACTTTCGGCACGTGCACGGATTGTTTGCCACTCAATCGCCTGCAGATTGAACTATTTGCATAAATGCAAATTATCCCAGGACCAACAATATCCGGGTTTTCGTACGACCACTTCACTTCAATTCCGTATTCTGGCCACTTGACATCAAATATAAATTAGAACGATTTGCTGTATGTGGGTCATATAGCCGCCAGCAGCAGCAGCATCGTTTTTGCTAATTACTCCAAACACGTTTATGCATTATTTATATATTAGTTTTGAAAATATCGTGCGGCTTTGGCTTTGACTTTTGACCAACACTTCCATTAGCCGAATGCACTTTGTTTTTTATTTAGCTTTTTACTTTTATTTTACGTTAATTTTCTGGGGCGATCGCACGTCCGACTCGCGCGGCTCTCCACTTGCAAATAGCCGACTCTGATCTGGGCTCCCAGTCGAGAGATCTGAGATCCATCCCCCAGAGCCAGGGGCTTCAGAGCGCCAGGTACTCGTAGACTCACTCCGAAACGCTGCGTATGTAAATGATATGAATGCTTCTGACGCAGCAGCAGCAGTACACTGAGAGAAAGGCACCTAGTTTGAACAGTTTGTAACAGAAAATTAAAAAATATATATTCAAAAATATAATGTAGATAGAGACAGATAACCCATTATGAATAACTTTCATGTGTGATAATTTTGTTCGTTGTTGTCACAATTTATATGATTCCCAAGAAGAAAATTTGATATTTCTTTGATTAATTGGTAGATTAATTATGTTGTTACATGAGCTATTCAAATTATATCTAAAATATATAGAATCTTCTTGCAGTGCATTGGGAAAATATTCGATCGAGCGTCGACGTCGCGGCTAACCGAGCGTATGAGAAATTTCATGTCAGCGTTGTCGTCGTCGTCGAGATTGCTGATTAGATCGCTGGAGTGTGTCGCGGGCGGAGCAGCCACCGAATTGCTCGCTGGCTCGATTTCAATGTGCAATAAACAAAACTATTTAACGCTTGCAAAGGGTTCTCTGTTGTTGTTGTTGTTACTGTAGTGGGAGGAGTTTGGGAGCATTTTTGGGAGGCAGGGCGAGGTCCCATCACCGTGGGCACGGTTCAATTCAGTTCAGGTGGGATCCATCGAACACCGCATCTAGCCATGCATGGCTCTGTCTTTCCGACAGTTTGTATGTTTGTTGTTTGCACAGTTGGGCCCAGCATCGCTTGTTGTTGGATTCAATGGCACTTTTAACAGTTCAGTGGTTTTGGCGTTGACAATGTTTGCTGTTTCCCCTTTTGTAACTGCTGTTGCTTCCGAATGACAAATGGCCCCGCCGTTGGCCCCTTTTCTTGGATTGAAACGGGTGAATCTTACCTGTGGCCAGAGTAAGCTCTTTGGCCAATTGTTTATCGCTAATTAGTGGCAGGTAGCCTTTAATTAGTGTGTCATCAAAGAGGGAACCAAAGTTACGTCGTCTTTCTCTATCTCTATCTATTGGCAGTGTGCGATTTGTAATGGCGAACAGTGCGTGACCTTTGCGGTTGCCACTTGGAATCCATTGGCAAGTTGGCCAAGGCCGATGGGGCTCTATCTCTATTGCCTCAGCGACCGAAATGTCTTGGTTGAGCGGCGATATGGTTGACATTAGGGCACATGCGATTACCTAATTTAATGAACGCCATCTGAGGAGGTTTCTTGGAGAGCATGCGGTTTCGTCATACAGAATGGTGCAGAGTTGAGAATGTGATAAGCTGCTTTAGACCCAAATAATATTCTTAGTGAGGTATAATTTAGCTTAGATTAGGTTCTAGGTTAAGTAATATTTTATAACCTTTATCTTTTATGAGATTTTCCTTTTACCAAGTTTATTAGTTCAAGAAATTTTGGATATGTTTCATTGATATTTCCTGACAATCTTCACGGCACCTTAACTATTATGTTGTAAGCCACAAAAATGTCATGAAAATCCCATCGTAATTCAATAAAAAATACACTTACCATGTCAAGCATTACAAATAAAAACTATAGCAATTTCGTTGAATTTATTAACAACTGCAGCATGAATACCAACCCGCCTTTCCACTTTCGTTTTCGCTCTGGACACACTGCGTATACGTAATAATTCATAGGCATTGCACACGACATGCAATAACTGCGCAATAATTGCCCGTTGCAAGCAGCTGCAGGACACGCCCCTGCAGCATTCCCTCCAATGGACTACTGGCCACCCAAAAACAGCAAAAAAAGAGGTTAAATAATGTGAGACATTCAGTGGCGTGACACGGAATGTTGCAGCAACATTCACAGGACGAATGGGGCAGTGTTTAAATTTTTAACGCTACCACCGAACACAAAAGCCTATGAGTTTACTATTTTCCAGCCCAACAGACCCACAAAACTTTTACGTATTCACCTTGAACTATAAAGTACTGAGTGAGTATGTGCGTGGTGTCAACAGCAAGGGCCAAACTGACGCCTGAATGACGCATAAAAATAAAATTTACCAACTGCATGCAACAAAATAGTGGCACCTAGGCACATAGCACATATCAAAGCTCTAATTAAAAATGCCGAAAAGTCATGCGTGTTTTCCCCGCGTGGGTGGGGGAAAGACCGGAACAATGAAGCATCCAACATAACCGCCATCAAAACTGTCTGGCTGACATGAAAGCTTTTCTGGCCTGGTTCAGACCATTCCATCTCCGTCTGGCTAAAAAGGGGACTTAAATATGGTCGACTCGTGCAGTCAGGCGTTGCAAGTGCAACTTGTCGCATTGTCTGCTTCACAGAATTATGCAAATGAGCCGACGCAGACTCAGCCGGGATTGTTTATGTTGGCCAAATATTTAGCCCCAAGCCAGCTAGTCAAAAATTTAGACACAAGCTTGATAAGCATGCTAAATGCACACAGAAAAATTATAAATTAGAACCCAAAAAAGGGATTTAATAACAATAAGATCCTTTTTTTGTAAGTTAATTATTTATTCATTAAGAAATTTATGGAGAAATAGTTTAGCCCATAATGTTATTAGGAAACTACGTCCCTAAAACCCTTATAAGTGCACTTTCTATACAAATTTTTTCACTCTGTTGCAGCAGTGAACTTTGAGTAACTGACTAACTGACTTGGCTAAGAATGTGAGTGCAACTTTACCCTCTATATGGTATAGTGTGTGTTGCTTAATTGTCGCCGAGTACTTCCGTTTTGTATGGCATGGCAAAGTTGCCGCCGGTTTCAGCACCCTTGACACCGCTATATGGTTGGTTATATGGAGGAGACCATACCATACCATACCATTCCCCGCTAGCCAACTAGCGTGTGAACTCGTTGGCGTTGGCGTTGACTTGCTGTGCTCCATATAGACCTTCCCCCCCGTTAAAAGCCATCCACACTAAACTAAAATTTATTTAAATCTGTGCCATAATTGTTTTGGGCGCCTGTTGCGCGTCGCCCTCGTTGAGTTCTTCTGGTTTTCGTTTTCATTTTAGTTTTTCGTTGTTTTGGCTTTTTGCCTTTTGCTGCTTGTGTGCGCATAAAATTAGCTCCGTAAATTTATTGTTAGTCATTCGCATTCTTGTCGCTTTTGTGTTGTGTTTTTTGGAGTCCGCCGTTTAAATGTCACAAGTTGCCACAATTTGTTTAATGTGTCCCCAGCCAATCAGTTTGCACGCGCCCCAAAAGTTCCATTAAAGATAGTTTACCTGCTGAAGATTAAATAATAGTAAAACACATTAAATGCATTAAATAATATTTATTGATTTCATCATTTCATATATAAACGAATCGTAGTTAGTAGAAACGAAAACCTGTGCTATCGATTCAAGTAAATGATTTTTTATTCTTTTAAATGTTTTCAAAATGCATTACGTACGTAGTTGATTCTATGGCAAATTGGTATATATGAGAGGTAGAAAAACAAAAATCAATTGGAAATGCAGACAAATGATATTCGGTTAAAGGAGAGATTTAGCCAAAAAGTTGTAGTGCCAAAGGTCTGTACTAAAAGGGGTTTTCTTTTCGATTTCTGTGATGGCTGCCAACCTTTGGCTCCCTAGAATTAATGCAGTTTGCATAATAATAATACACAAGTTCGTAAATACATACATAAATACAATCGTAATCGTAGTACATAGTCAGTTATATTTGTTTTTGTTTTTACTCTTGCTCTTTGCTTTAAATGCAGCCGAAAACAGATAGATTTCTCTCCACTCTTCGCTCGATCGCAAATGATTGTTATTAATGTTCTTTGTTGGTTATAAATTTTTGCTATAATTAAAAGGTTTATTTATATGCATTGGTTTTGTTTACTACAATTGGCTATATAATTTCGTCATTTTGCAAGCATTTTTAATTTTATTCTTCATCTCGCTCAAAAATTGTGTTAAAATTCCAATTTAATTTTGCATTTATTCTCGACTGGAAAATATCAAAGGGCGGAATTAATAATAAAAAAAAATATTCTTTTGGAATGAGCTACGGTTTGACGATCTGCTATTTGCTGCCACTTAATTATGCCTCTTATATACTTACACGTTAAACATATTATATATTTATTTATATATGCATGTATAAGCGAATTGCCATTTATCGAATCTCTTGCCGAGTCCTTTCCTTACATTAACGTTAATGTCGTATGTCCTACGAGTGTGTTCGAAACTGTTCAATGCTTCTCCTGCTGATTTTTGATGCCCAAAAATGTACTGGAGTGCTTGCATGGAGAGTGGGTATTGTATGTGTGTGAGGTTGTTGTTATATTATTACTGACAATCGGTTTACATAAAAGCAGGTGCTGAGTTTTGCCCTGGCAGGTGCTGATACAAACGACGTTTAGCCTCCTAACAAAGCCTTGCAAGCGCCGGATCTCTCACTATATATCTGGTAAGTAACACTAAATGAACGCGATTATGTTTCGTACATATGCAACTATGAGTTCGCCTCTCCCACAAAAAACATCTTCTTTCTTCCGTTTTGGCCACACGTTCCTTTGTCTTCATCTATGGATACTGCGATACTATGATCTCTTGATCCTTTGATCCTTTGATCCTGAGGGCCCTGGAATCGCTAGCCTCTGCCGATGGTTAGTTGCCTTCTCCATTCGTTCGTCTTCTCATTTATTTCAAAAACTTATCACATAAATGTTTATATATTTTTTTTTTTTTTGGGCGGAATTCTTAGCGTGTGTCGTGTTTTGCTTGCGCGAAAGCAGAGGAGGACATATGTGTGTATGAGAGGATCTAATGCTGCTGCAAAAGGCTAAAATGTAGACGGATAACTGGTCATAACTGAGGTCACCCATCCGTGCAAACAACAGTGATAACAAAGGCTGAAATCGTGGCTGACAGGACTGTGCTGATTGACTGAATAAGAAGGGAAAAAAAGCAACTTGAGCCATTGGATGGGTTGAATGTGTGTGGTTTTTCTTTCTACTGTTGGCATCAGCGATTTGCCAATTTGCGTGCGATGCGCCTTCAACTATGCTACAGTTTCTCTTTGGTTGCGCCCTCCTGTTCCTCGTGGCTTCCTTGTTAGTTATCCTTGATGGGGAGTGGAGTGTGTATGTGTGTGTGTGTGTGTGTTTTTGCTGCTTCTGCTGTTTGCTATTCGTAGTTCTATTCAAAAACGCTTACTTGGCTACTGCACATTTATGTTTCTGTTTTTTGGGTTTGGGATTTTTTTACGGTTTTTCTTTTTTTGTTCGCTGCTGCGTTTGCTTTTACTTTCACTTTCTCGATTTTGTTTGCAATCATAATAATAATAATATTAATTTTCTGTTATAACGCTAGCACGCTGATTGGTTGCGCCAGGGCCCTGGGCTATCGTTTGGCCAAGCTGATGGAGCCGCTTAGTCGCTTAGAAGACCAGCATCTGATCGGCGCTGCCCTCCGCGCTGTCCTCGTCATCGGCGCCCTCGTCTTCGTCGTCGGATGTGAGCGATGCGGCGTTATTAACCACGGACTCTGTTTGGATTGGACATGAAATTAGAATGTGTGCTTGAATTTATGCGGATTCCTCTCAAATTCCCCGCCTCTAATCCAACCCATAGTCCAACGTATACATGTCTAATAATGGCGGTCAACCGCAGAGCTTCCTTCCTCTGTTATTTTTGAAAAGAACGAAACGGAACCCGTTCGCCACGAGCTCATGTGTTATGCATGGCGTATGTGCGATATTAATAGGAAAACTCAATTACCGATCCCCTGGTAATGCCCGGTCTGACCAAGCTTGTCCCGCTCCTGCTCCTGACAACTTTAACAACCTTAAGTGCTGAGTTAAATCAGCACGGCTGCGAGGGTAAAGTCCGGAATACACAAGAAGGTAGGCCAAGTAAACGGGGCGGAGTGGAGATAAGCAGATTACGTATACGCAACGGAGTGCGAGGTATTTTCGATAACGATAGGCAGCGGCTGGCACTGCGGCAACGCATAACTCAGCATTGGGCCATTAAAGCTGGCTTAAAGGCTGATAGTTCAATCCAGTTGGATGGCTCCGAACTCAGGTGGCAAATCGTGGGTGGTCCGAAACAGTACGAAATGCCACGAAAATCGTTAAAGAAACACGAGTCCGGCTTGGATATTTCATCCAACGGGATTCCACATTAATTGGCAGCCGACTGCAGTGAAATGCAAACCGCTGAGGATTACCTTTGCACATGTTCATTTATTTTGCATAATCGGTGGATTTATTCCTTTGATCTAGGCTGAGTCGATTTTAGTGTAGGTTTTTGCAATATTTGTAATTAATCTAGAAGAAAAAGTAGTATTTTCTTCTTTCTACCTGTTTTAGGATGTAAATTAAGGGTAGCTAAGCCTATTTTAATGTGTTTTTTAGTTCTAAGTTAAAGAGCATTTTTCATTTTTGGTTGAATACCTTAGGTAGTGTAAATGCTGGAAACCTTTTTTTAAATACAGTTTAATATGAAAACCCACAAATGTTTTTTCTTGTGCTGTAACTTTTTCTGGTCTGTTTTTCTAGAGAACTGCGATCCTAAACTATGTTATTGCCCACTTTCAGGTGGGTTTTAGAAACGCCAATTGTATGTGCAGAGAGGGTTAAATGCGGCAACTGACCAGCTTAACCCATTTCCACTGGCGCTACCCCGCTGATTATGGCCTTTTTCAAAGTTGGTGGGTCTTTTGTTGTTATGACCCCTTCCCGCCAAATGGTTTGGGTTAAGTGTTTGTATCCTTCAACCCTATGCTGCCCTGAAACCCCATACCAATCCCAATCCCAAGTACTCACCGCAGTTGGGTTTGCCGCGTGTGCGTGTGTTGGCGAACTCGACTCCGTGCTTGTCCACGCACCAGCAAACTCCCACCGAATTGTGGCACTGGGTGGGCTTGTAGAATCCCTGGATGTCGCAGTCCGGTGCGTAGGCGCCTAATTAGTAAACAACGCCAACACGGGAGAGAGAACAAAGTGCAACGTTTTAGTGGGGCAACTTGGTGGGGCAGTAATGGGTGGTTAAGTTTTTATTTCTTTTTTTTTTTTTTTGATTCAGTGAGAAGCGGCACAAGCAAGGGTTTCGGGTCGTGGTGTGGCGGGCGAACAAAAGGAAGAAATTATATATATATATAGAATAGTATAGTATAGTATAGAGGGGTTTTCATTTTCTTTTTTTTTTTAAGGCAAACACAAAAAGCATCGGACAGTGGCAGTTTCTACAGCGAGGTTAAAGAGGGGGTTCAGAGGTTACGGAAAAGTTCTGTGTTGTTGTTAAAAGTGTTTAATTTGCTGGCTTAAAAGTTGGAGATATATAGAAAAAACGGGGCAGCGAGCACAAAACGAAAGTTAACAACGAAAGCGGCGCGAAAAAAAGGTTACTTCTGTTAACTGCTTGTTGGGTGTGTATGTGTGTGTGTTACTTAGCAAGAGTGTGTGTGTGTGTGTGTGTGAGTGTAAAGTGTAAGTGTGTCAGGGTTTCTATTTAGCTGTCAGGCGCTTAATTATAGTAGTTTGAAAAAGGTTCCAACGCGTGTAAAGTAGGAGCAAAGAGTGTCAGACAAACAAAAACTAAGCGGGCAACAAAGCGCCGTCCGAAAGAGATGGCAGATAGCACAATGGATAGAGACGGAAACGAAGAGGTAGCGAAAGAGATGGCAATACAGAGAGATAGGCTAAGAGGTAGTGAAAGTGAAAGTAACGAAAACCAACTGAAACCAAATTACTCTTCGCGCACTTTTTGGTTTCTTGTTTTCGATTTAGTCTTTTTTTTCAGTTTTGGTTGTATACTGGTTGTTGTTGTTGTTGTTAGGGTAGGGAATATACATAAATAAGGCCCAGGACCCCGCACAACTCATACGAATATTTATATATATATATAGAGAGAACATAGAAGTATTAGTGTTATGTAGCCAGAGAAATGTCCACCTGTACCTATCTCACCTGCAAAGTCGCCGGCGATTCTCCGGCGAACAGCGGCACATGGACGATCCGTCTTCTCGAAGCACCGACACCACTCCCGGGTGTTAATCGAGCTGTCCGTGTCCAAGTCGCAGGTATCGATGAAAGGCTTGATGCATCGCTCATTCTGGTCGTGCTCCAAATCGTACATCTCCTGCAGCGACAGCTGGCCATCATTGTTCAGATCCAAATGGCCAAACATCCACTTGGCCTCCGTCTTGCAGGCGGGCGGGAAATGGGCCTTCGACTTCTGGCTGTGCTGCCGCCGCTTCTTGCTGTCGGCCATGATCACCGAGAACCAATCCAGCAGTCTGTTGCCAATCGCCGTCAGCTGCTGGGGCTTGCATTCCGCCGACTTGGAGGGGTAGGCTGTGGCGGTGATATCAAGATATGGCTTAGTACTAACTTCAGTGTAATAAATAAATATATATACTCAAAAGCTATTTAGAAAACCTTTTCTTAAAGTTCTTGTCAAATTTATCTAATATTTTTTTTAGTGTTTATTGAGTTTGCCTCACCATTCAAGTTGTTGTTCTTATTGAACTTCTGCTGCTGCTTCTCCACCACCTCGTTGTAGTTGCGCATCTTGTGCTTGTCCTCCTGGTACTTGGAATCCTGCCAATTACAAAACAGTTAAGGGAAAAGGCAATATTTGAGGAGGCAACTCACCTTCTTGTAGGCCGTGTACTTGAGGTACTTGTAGTGCTTGTTGTCATATTTGATCTCCTCGGGCGTGAAAGTGTACTGGGCATTGATGTGATTGTTGTGCCGGTTATTGTCCTCTTTGTCCTGCAGGATAATCGAAATTACGCCTTGTGACATGTCAATATAATATATATGCTACGACATTAACTTACATTCATGATCGTATTGAAGTCATTGTTGTTGCCACCCATAATATTGCCGCTGTTCATCATGATGTTATTGTTGTTGCTGTCCTTGTAGGCCTGCTGTTGTTGTTGCTGCTGCTGCTGGTCCAGGCTGATCTTCTTGTTGTATTTGTTATATCCGGAAATGCGCTGCAACCGCTTGCCATCGACATTCTCTGCAAGAAAAAAAACAAATAAAAACGGATGGCCAAGTGGCAAAATGGCGGTCAGAAAATAGCTCGAACAGGCCAACTTTTTGCATTCCAGAACTCACTGAGGCATTGCCCTCCCCCATATATATACTTTGCTTTATTTTCCTGGCCAACACGACGCTCTCAGCTGTGCAAAATTGAAAATTAACGTGGCTGACTGGCTGAGTGGTTTTTGGAGCCCCCATCACAATGGCCGCTCGGCGGAACAATGGCGTCTATGCCTACTTGTTCGCCGGCCTATTAAATATTTAACAAGTGATGTGCCGGGGCAAAAATATATATTTAAAGCCAAAGCCATTGTTTGGTAATTGGAATTTTTAATTGCCAGCTTTTTGCTGTCGAAGGAGGAGCTAGACGAGGAGCAGATCCTCCTCTCAAAACAAATCGCGTTTAGCCGCCAGCTGAGTTGTCTTCTTCTTTTTTGTAGCATACTTTCATGGGCAAACAAACTGAGCAAACTAAGCCTGTCACAAAATATGCATGCAATTTATTTTGTAGTCAACGGAGGTCCTTCCTCCCATCATAGTCCTTCGACTCTGGCCAACTGCCAAGGCTGGAGCTCATTATGCGGAGCATTTGATTTTGCTACGGGTTCGTCGTGTCATTTGTTCCCCGGCAGTTCTTGTAGTCCGTTTGTTATGGCTGGAAAATGGAGAACATAGACTCACCCTTGCAGGGACAGAATCCTTTGCAGGCGATCCGTATGGACGTCGAATGTATGCAATTGTGATAATCCAATCTGCATAGTGATGAGTAGGTCCTGTTGTCGGCACCGCACAGGAATGTTGGCTTGGCCACAGGACACGGCTTGCAGTTGCTACAAAAAAAAAAGGGAATATAAAAAAGAAAGCGGAGTTAGAAATCAGAGAGAACTCAAGGGGCGCAACGGCAACAAATAGATGACATGCAAAATTAATTTTTATGCAAATGAAGTCTGCGTCCTTCCCTCCTTCTTTATATATAAATTTTTTTATCTCTGTCCACATGTCTCCACCTCCAGTGGACAATTTGTTGAGCAGGTAAGAGGCGAGAGTGGGTCTTGCTTATACATTTATTTAAATATTTATTTAATATGCGCTGCACGCACGCCCAGGCAAACAGTCGAGCCGTGAGATTGGCCGGGGGTTTGGGGACAAGAATGCGGATTGGTGGACCGGGACGAAACTTTATTTAATAATTTGTACAAATATTTAAACTGCCAACGTCAAACGAAAAAGGACTTGGGCCATACATATCATTTATATATATAAATTATTTGACTCCATTCCCATTATAATTGAGTACGTGAGCTCTTAGTAGCGAAAGCCATCGTCCTTACAATTCGCTAAGTAACCATTTATCCCTTTTTAATTGCTGGGACGCTTAATCTGCTGTCAATCAATCATCTTTAAAACTCAAAAGAAAATCACACCCCTCATCCAATTTACACTCTCGTTTTTTCTCTCTCTCTCTTTTTAATAAATAAAACCAACAAAAGGATTATTCCAATTAATGGTTGCTACTATAGTAGCCATTCATTGGACGGAAAAAAGCCTTCCGTGGGAGTTTTTATCCGTTTCGATGTCGCTTTAATTGGCCTGCCGCGAAATTCGCTGCCAATTGCCACGAGCACAACTCTCGTGGCCCTATTTCATAATTTTATTCAGATATATATATATTCAGATATATATATATACATTCTTTGTTGTTTGGGCTGGGCTGTTGGAAAGTATTCCCTTTTTTTGTCTGGTTTCGAATAAAATTTGCACATTTATTTGGGTTTTCTGTGCCGACTGAAAATGAATGAAAAGCAATTTGCCTAATGGCCCCAATTTGGCAGTCATAATTAGAGGGCTTTTGTTTTTTTTTAATTTTAAGGAAATATTAATTGAAAATTGGCCAGTTATTCGGGTCAAGCTTGGCTTTGCAACATTTCGGACTTAACACTTTCCATTTGTGCCTGTCAAATTGTTTGCTCTTTGCTTTTGCCAAATAAATTTTAAACAAGGACCAAAGCCTTGGGTAAACAATTGTTTTGCAGAGAGCAGAAAAAATATTCAATAAAATAAAACAATAATTGGTTTTGTCAAAAGACTTTTGGTCATGCTTTGCATATAGATAACTACGTATAGATATGTGTCCCTTAAGCTGACCAATTTCATGGCAGAACGAGTGTAAACGTACCAATGGCCAAAACCGAAGTAAACATATTCCCGGTTATTCAGGATATATGTACGTACATCCTTCACTTTCCACTGTGTGTGTGTGTGTGTGCTCTCACTGCTTTTAATTAAAAATTCTCTCGCATGTTCTTTTGCACGCTTCCGGTTCGCTTTGTTTGCCCTTCTCCGCCGGATTGTTTATACAAATTTAATGAAATTCTTAGGGCCAAGTAAATAGTGAAACGAATAAATTTGATAATGCGATCCTTGCTCAATGACAGCGCCGATGGCATCTTGAATGGCCTGCCAAGCTGCCCAACTGCCCAGCATTTGCGGTTGCTTTGAGCAAATTGCCCATCAAATGCCGGCTCCATGTCTCTCTCTCTCTCTCTCTCCCTCTCTCTTTCTGAAAAATGTGTAAATTTTTACTCAAATATTTGCTTTCAATTTTGCAAACCCCATCCGTCCGACCGAGTAGCGAGTTTTTGGGTTCTCGAAGCTTCCTTTGAGCGGTTCCTATACCTGCTAACTCCACTGCCCCTCTCCTTAAATTGCTGGAGCCGACAGCTTCATGTGCATAGACCACAAAACAGCTCAGTGGTTTCGAATAACTGCCATGGACAGGCTCCTTCTCCCACACACACGAATAGCTGAGTTCTGGCAGCTTGAGGTGAGATCTGAACTGTGGAATGTGCCCTAGCCTCCCAGGAATCTTCAAATCCTTCTCAGGGATGCACTACGGTCATGTTTTGGGATAAACAAAAATATATTCATTTTACATATTTTAGCTTAATAACTATATGTTTTTAGGCCAAGTTAACAACCATTTTGACTTGATATTCTTAGTATCCTTGCCACTGTGCCATGGCATATTGTTGCAACAAACAATGCCCGTCTCACACATGAGTTATGGCCCGATCTCGGTCTCCAGCTGGGTTTTTGGGTCTTGGGGCATTGTGGAGGTTGCCTCGCATTTTGGTCTATTAGAAGTGCCCCCACCGGACGACCCCTTTGCTGGGGCAGGTCTTTTGTTTGACTTGCGCCTGAATGGAAAGACGAGAGAACTGGAGCAGCTCCTGCTGCCACGATGAGTGGCAAATGCTCCGGCTCAAACTATTGATTTTGCCAACGGCATCGTGACGCATTCATATTTCATGCCATTGACATAGATACACACATACAAACACATACATATGCAAAGTGATGGTGTATACTCATACTTATATACATTCGTGAAAGCAAAATTGAAAAGGAAAATTCGTAAACATAAAAGAAGAGGCGAAATATGTCAAAAGCCATTGTTAATGTCATCGCTGGGAGCTGGAAAATGGAGAAAATGTGGTCGGGCGCGTGATTTGCCTATAGATTGATTTTCACACTCAAACACCCACCGTTCTGTGTTGTTTGGCAAGTGGATTTTAATTCAATTACAGGGAAAGAAAAAACAGACAAAAAACAACAAACAACAACACCTCGAAGGCCACCGTGAAATCCATCCATCTCTTCATTGGTAAAAAAAATTCCACTCCGTATCAGAAAATACGTCAAAGGCTCAAAACAAAAACTTTTCCACGGTTCGAAATTTGGCCAATACACATAGCATCCTGCAAAGTGCCAAGCAGCGAGCATGAAATTAAACTTTGCCCGAACAAAAACAGAAAAAAAAGAGAAAATAACACAAATGATAAACAAGACGAACATAAACATGAAGCGAAAACATTTTTATAACATTCGGGTGGGGGCTGAATTTCAAAGGATTCTGAACTGGGACACGAGTCCAAGAAGTTGGTCCGACTTTTTTTGGGTAAACAAAATGTGGAAAAGCTTTAAGTGAAAATGTGTTGACTAGTCTAGGGAAATTGTATTTTAATCATAGCATTAAAGAGCTGAAAATGTTTTTTATTGGATTTTGTTAATTTTTAAAGTCTTTTAAGTTTTTTCTCAATAAAAGAGTGCACTTTTTTTCATTCTCTTCTTTTAGTAAACAGAGTCATTTTTTTATAAATGAAATTTTTTTAATAGTTTTTTGTATTTTCTTGTAAACTTTATCTTTTAATTTTTAAATATGCAAACGAGAACTAGTTTAAAAATATTACTGCATTAAGCCTACTTTTTCTGGAAAAAATCCTTGAAAAAGTTTGAAAAATATTGCGTAAAATATTAACAAATATTTTTACAAAAAAGGAAATTGACTGTTTGTTACTAACAACTTCCTTTTTCCTACTAAAAGAAAAGTAGCAACCCTTTCCCTACGGAAACCCTAGCCAATCAAGCCTTGACACCGACTCGACTTTGACTTCATTTTCCGGGCTCTGCTGGTAGCACACCTGCTCCTCTCTCCAGCCCTCTACTCCTATTCCAACTTCTTGGCCTAAAGGCAGTGCCCTTTTTTTGGAAGCACTGCTCGCGTGCCAGTCCACAATTTGGGTTAGGGTCAAAGCGATAACACGGAACAAGTCAAGGCATCCGACGACGGCACGCGTCAAAGGGTAAAGGCCGTAAAGCTGTCGTTGCGGCCCATTGAACCATTCAGGCAGAAGTATGCCACCGCCAGTAAATATCCAAAAAGCCAACAACAGCAGAAAACAGGCCAGGGACCAGCGCCCAAAGGCTGCGTGCTAAAAATTGTACTACTGTAAATTTATTGCGGAATTTTTATACACGATAAAACAATTTGTTATTAGCATGGCGACCGTGGAAATCAGTGGGAGTTTGTGGGTGGGGTGGCCAGGATGTCAAAGGTGACCTGCACAGCCCCGTCTCCCTGTCGCCATCAACCCTTTTTTGTGGACGCGAATTTGCTTAATGAAATGTAAAATCCCACTCAAAGGCAAACGCAAAAAGATCGGCCCGAAAGTTAAATACTCGAAAGCTACACAGTGGCAAATACATAACTTAAAACTTTAAATTGCCATTTTTATGTTATACAGATTACTATTACCGGGGTGTCATAGAACTTTTTCAAGTGTACTTACTCCAACTCTTCGTCATCGTCCTGCTGAATTACGGAGGGTGCTGCTGGAGGTTGAGATTGCTGCTGTGACTGCTTATCGCCTGCAGCAATGCTGTTCTCGTAGAAGACATCATCCTCCTTGGACTCATCGTCGTCACCCAGGCTGAGGCTCTTATCTTCGTCGTCGGTCTCCTCATTTCCCTGGACATTGGCCTGGGCATTGTTGGGGCCATTGGGGTTGGCGTTGTTGCCGTTGCTGCTGCCACTGCTAATGCTGCTGCTACCATCACTGCTGTTGTCCTCATCGTCGTTGTTGATATCCTCCGCGTCCTGGCTGTCCTGGTTGTCCTGCTGGTTGACACGCCGCTTGGCCTCCTCCTCCAAATACTTGGCCTTGGTGATTATCTCATCACTGGAATGTGAAATGGTTTGGCAAGGGGATTAAATTTCGAAGGCCTCCGGCTCGCACAATTTAATGGGCTCATCAGAAGGCAAAATAAGCCTGCCCAGGAAACCCCACTTACCGATTCTTGTGTAGCTCCTTTTTCGACACGCAAACGGCACTGAACTCGTCCTCCAGCAGGCAAATTTCACGCTTCTTGCAGTTCAGCGGTCGGCAAAGGTCACCTGCAGGCGAGCGATTTCAATTTATTAATAGGTCACATATTTTATGCATATATTTTTGTGTCAAAACTTAATTGACCATAGCCAAGGGCCAAATGGTGTGTAAATCCTTTGACTTTGGCTTTGCTTTGGTTTACTCACTCGAGGGGTCGTGTATCCAGCGCTTGTGCTCCCCCAGATTCTTGTTGTTCTGCGTGTTTTTGTTTATCTGGAAGGGAGAGAAAGAACAATAAATTGCATGTGAAACATTTGCTAGTTTAATTTTGTTATTTAAATGCATAAAAAATGCAAAGCGCACAGGAGCCAAAGCTGAACTGACGTCTGTCAAAATGCACACATGCACACATTCTCACTCACTCACACAAACCTAACCCATTCAGACTCACTGAGGCATACACACACAAACACACGAGGCGTATGCGTAATGGCAGTTCACATAGACTTTCAGGACACTATACAGCATATTTGCACTACATGGGGGGAGGGCTGGTAAAAGTTAAAAAGCAAACAGTATCAAATCATAGTAGGTACAAAAACTAGGTATGTCAAGGGTGGTGGGAGGGAATGTCATATATGTGTGCCTTTCTAATGATGATCAATAGTTCATCTGTTATTCCAACAAATGGAGCCGACTAGCGATGGATTCAGAGATTAAAGCATGGAAAAATAACATACTCTTTTTTTTTGTTGAAGGCCTCTGACAGGCTGACAGAAAAACAGAAAAATTCATGTCTAAGTGAACATATGCAAATCCGATTGCATACGAAAAATATGGCATATTCCTGCCTTGCTTAGTTATGCAACCTTTTGCTTGCTCCTTGCCGACCAGATTTATTTTAATTTAATTCAATTTAGAATGAAGCTTAAGCCTTGCCCAGAACTGGATGGTGAGCACTGCCACATTTCATATCGTCATCACACCGCTGGGCATTGTGAGGCGAACCGAAATGTTATTAAGTGCAATGGTGCGTATGCATAATATTTAACTTGTCTATAAAATTTATGGTGCACTAACAGCATCTGTGGCAACAAAAATAGCGACTACAGCTGCTGGTTAAATGGGGAAAATAAGCTGTGAAAAATGGCAGGCAAAAAATATATACATATACACATAAATATCACGAAACGGCGAGCTCACGTCGACTTGACAGTTTTCCGATGGCGGGCGTTTCGCCCATTTGCCACTGGCTTTGTATTTTCGGAGTTTGCTGGAGCTTGCTGGCCTGATACTGCAATCGCCGCTGTCAGTTGGCTTAATGAAAGCGACAGGAGCACCAGAAACTGAAACGGCCGAAAGCTTCGAGCCTCGCTGGTTGAAAATGCATTCTGTCCACACGCACACAAATATACACTCTGCTAGTTTGGAGCGCGAAATCGTTCAAGTGCGAAGTGGCAATTGCGGGACATACATCTACTGGCAGAACACACACACACGCCCATCTCTACACTCCTCCTCCAACAGCACCCATCGTCGTTTTTCCCCTGTAATGCAATAAACTCGTCCAGGACGTGGACGCAGGCAATTTGCATGCGTTAAAACGCAATTTGTGCGCGTTTCCTGGCCGCGGCCGCAACGTTCCTGCCCCGGTTGCAAGCCTTCCATTCCGTCCCCTCTTTTCCGATGCCTTTTTCCTACCACTTTACCCCATACCCACAACTCACACCCACACCCACTTTACCCACACCTCCTGGCGAATTCTGCTGAGACTCTCCATCGCACAGGGATCTCTTGCAGCTTTAATACCCTCGCCTTTGATTGCAATGCGTGGCTGCACTGGCAGAAATTGTATTAAATTGTTAACCCTTTTTATGTTCAAGCCTACAATAAGTCTAGCAATAATAACTTCTAATCATTCTTGAACTTTTTATACTTTAATATCAAAATGAATAAAACTGACAAAGACATTGATACCAGTTCAAATGTCAGAGTGTCTACAATGAACTAGATTTCAACCAGAACCTAATTTCGCCATATCTAATAGATAATCCCCTACTTTTTCCCTCTGCATGAGTACGTGGATCTGCGGCCTGGTCCGCTGATTGGCTTGGCCGGGAATCCGTGCGGCCTGCTTCTGTGGCACTCCGTTTGTTGGCTTTAATTGCGCTGCGTTTGCTGCGGTGGCAGCGGTGTCGGTGGTGCTGAAACTGGTGGTTCCCATACAGGATGGTGCTGTTATCGCTGGCGTTGGCCATGCGATTGACCTTATTGTGGCTTTTTACGGGGGCGCGTGATAAACTTGCGCACAGCTGTGTAAAAAGGCAAACGGCGGCACGGTGACATGACCCACCGGCAGCATGGCATTTAAAAAAAAAAGTGCCCTACTAAACTGGGTCAAAAACAGCAGCTGCAAGTGAAACATAATGCAACACAGGCGGACAATACAGGCATGTTGTTGAGGAAGCAACCACAGCTGCTGCACCAGCACCACCACCATCACCACCGCCTCTCTCAACTCAAGCTGAACGAAAGCACCACCCATAACTTGGTAAAAGTTTTGCCAGCCGTTTAACCTCTTTGCCAGATTTCTGGCTGTTTAAGTGGTTGAGCTTATTAAAGCCCATTTAATTGGTGGCATGGCTCCTCCAACGGCGCCTTCCAGCAAAACTTGACCCTAATTTGAAAGTCCCAGAAGAGAAATGGGAGTAAGCAGGGAGTCCTGTGAGTCCTGCGGATGGAGCTTTCTCTTTGCTGGGAAATATTTTCCGTGGTTTGCTGGCCAAAAGATAAAGGGCGGCATTGTTACACTGACGCCATTTTTGTTGCAACCAACACTGCTCTGCAAACCAGCTGCATTGTTCAGACCAGCTGCCACACCCCATGCCCCACCTTCCGCCCACCGCCTCCCATTTTCGCCGCATTGTGGCAATCTGTCAAGCTTTAAATTGAATTTACGACTTTGTTTTCGTTGCGGGCTTATTTCATCTTCTTTTGTTTTCTTCTAGCCGCTGCCACTGCCGCTGCCACTGCTGCCTCTGCAATTTCTTGCAATTCCTTTGTTGTTTTCTTTATTTGCTAAGGGAGGAATAACAAACATTTTAGTGGTTGCTCGACTTTTCTATATAGCTGAAAAGTCGGAGGGGAATGTCAATTTTGGTTGCATTATGTAAATGTAATTTTTAAGTTCGTTCGCTGAGAAATCGATATCTTCGGAACAAAAACTGACGGCTTAAGCCCAACCCAAATCCTTTGTGCTCCATTTAACTTCCACTCATGCATTAATTCAACCCGATTTCAGTTCCATTTCGATCGATAGCCATATATTTTCTATCCCCTGGCACATAACTCATTGCGGCATTCGCCAATCAGCGTGGCAAAAAAGCCAAAAAAAAAGAGGAGCAGGAATTCGCATTAAATCGAAAATTCGCCATTTTGAAGCTGAAATTGGAATTGGAATTGCAACTGGGCGTTGCTCGGTCCCGAAATCGTTGTAAATTATTCAGCGGACATCAAATGACTGCCAATGATGCGGTGGCATCTCATCGGTTGATGAGCCAACCAGCAGCCTCCCCAACCAATTCAATCAATAAAATATGAAACGGCGGTCAGGTCGGGAATATGGGAATTTGAGGCTGTAGCGCCACATTTTGCGGCAATTAGAGTGCAAGAGATCAGGGTTGAAGGAGGCACTATAACCATTGATATGCTAAATGCAGGCCCGCAAAATGACCAACTGACTGACTGACTTCGCTTCTAAATTATGCACTCCACTTGAAAAATGCATTAGCCGCCGGTACCCCCGGAATTTATGTCTATCCGCATGGTATAGCATGGTAGTAGTAGTACAGTATGGTACAGTATGTCCCCAATCCGCCCGGGCTATCATCTATGCTGAGTCAGATGGGATGGAGCACATAAATTGCACATTTTCGTGCACACGAAATGGTAAATCAATTCCTATTACTATTACAGCCCGGCGGATGGCCCTAAGCCGGCTGTCCGGATTTCGGGCTGGCACATTTCCGTAGCCGGATCCGGTTGTGTGGCAAGCAGCGGGGGAGAATCAAAATCCGTATCCATCAATACTTCTATATACATACATCTATAGCTTAGGCCAAAGTTTTTTGAAGTGTGCAAAGCCAAGTGCGGAATAAGCGGACTTTGAGCCAGGAAATTGCATTCTTTGGGTTGGCCAAAGAGTGTCACCAGAAGTCAGGGGAATATCCCGTGATTTGGGAATGGGAAAGTTAATTGCTCCTGTCCTCCATTCCGAAACTGACTTATTAGTTATGGGCGACTCATTAAATGGGCTGTCACTGTCGGTGTCACATGCATAAATTACACAATAATCTCATTTTAATGGTTAATTAAATTACCATAACGTTCAGCTGTCAAAACTGATGTCACAACGATTTCTGCCGTGGGGACGAGTGATTCGTTAAATTCGGAAAATGGGAAAAATTGTGTCAGTGGCAATAAAAAGAATTATGCGATTCGTGCATTAAATAAACCATGGCATTTCCCGGTGAGAGTTTCATGTTTCATGCCTGCAGGACAATAAAATTGTGAAACCTAGGGAAAAAGGTAGAGGCACCTGGAATGGCACGTGATCCCCGGCCGGAAAGGCCTAGCAAGGGCGTTATGTTTATGCATCATAAATGCATTTTGCAGCTGCGCTGCAGCCAACCCAACCGCATTGCAGTCATAAAACATTTGCAACAGCAGCGACTACAAAGCGGGCGAAACTGCAACTGCAACAAATTGCAACTAGTGCAAGGACCACGACAACATCATCATCATCCTGCCCAACAAAGGCCACTAAAATGTGCTTACCTATGTGGAAGAGATACACTTCGTTACATTGTTGCAATTCCTATTTATAAACATGGTGGCCAGGAAAAAAACACAAACCTAAAGGAAGCTCTCAAAAAAATGCCGCACTCTGGAGGATTGTCTGGTGGCGGAGTGGTTACCATCTGATTGCTAGCATTTTTTATGTCCTGCATTTGGTAACCGGAAACGTGTATCTGTGGGTGTGTGGTTCAGAGATTGGTACAAGTTTATTACAAATCCCGGCACATATAAAAGGATAAAGGTGGAAAGTTATGCGATGGATGCTGAAGGGATTCCAGATTACTGATTCCGGCTTCCGGATATGAAAGAAGCCAAAAGGCTCTAAATGCATTACGAAAAATCGATTATGTGCCAGTCGGCAGCTGTAGCTGCTCTCTCTCTTGCTCTTTCTGACCATTAATCAGTCAGTCAGGCAT